TGATAAGAAGATCCTTCAAAGCGCGCGCAACTTCCTTCGCGTCTGAGGAAGAGAAGCGCATACAGTGTATTTTATCCAATTCTCGGATATAAAGTATCCAGCCGACTGGTAAAGTGTAGCATATATAATTATCACCACTTTGTAACGTAGGCACGCTCAGATCGGGCCGGAAACTTCACTTGGAAAGTCTATACTTGGACGTTAATAGTACCCGGATCAAATATACAGAGTCTTGTCACTCCTTGTTTGGGGTTTGTAGTCGTCTTCCCTTCCAGATGCAGGACTCTCTTCGCTTGCAGTCAATGCAGAAGTACGGTACGTCAAACAACTAGTAGGCAATCAACGTCCTTCACCGGGCGCCACGTCTGCGGCCATGTACAATTGTAGTTGATCATTGTAAACAATAGCAAAAAGTATAGACGATCTTAAAGCTGCCCTTCACTGAATTTTTGTCTGCTCACACAAACTCACAACAGATATACAAAGGACTACCGTATAAGGGCAGAAGAAGAGGCCGTTCTTTTGGATCTTTGACAATGAACGGTAGGAAGGAGCCGGCACCCGCGAATGATTGATATGAACATGCATGTGAGGCGCTTGACGATGAAGGATCCGACGAATTCTTAGTGCAGGAGCTAGCCTGCTAATTTCAAAATGTGACCAAGCTTTTCGTGATTTCGTGACCATTGAGTCTGACCGCGAAAACATGGTTTATGGATACGCATATCACTTTTGATCAGAAAATAGTAGTTCAATGTTCAAGAACCATCCTTCCATAGTGCACATGCCAAACTCGATTGAAATGCATTTCAATACGGCGGTCAGCGAGGGGGCATGGTCACAACCGGATAGCTTGTCATTGTTATGTTGATTAAAGATCTGGAGAATCTTCAATGTGACGTTGTGATTGATGTCGAATGCGTCATGCATCTGAAAATTGGTTTAAAACTCGAGCGCCTCTCTGCTATCCCTCAGTGCGATGGGAATCTAGACCCATGGCGTCTACTATTACCGGCCGCGCCCCTCGGGGCGCGGCTGGCATCGGGAGGACGAGTGCGCTTTTGACGGGGTTTCGCAGGGGTTCTGCGTCATCCTTGCGCGATTAAGTTTACAATCATTTGGATAAATCCTTCCTGCATGGGGGCCGAGCCAAGTGACGCAGAATGAACGTCACATGTAATCCTTGCGTACTGACGCGTGTCAACCAGTTTCCCGGAAAGAGAGCACAAAGTTACTGCTGATTAGCTAACGGGACTGACGACCACATAATATAGGATATAGCGTTACTCACCACTGACCAGACGGCTGAGCCTGAGCAGTGAGGTCCAATCCAGATTCCAGTGCCGTCAAGATGAGTCGACGAGAGGCGACGGGCATCACACGGGCATCGGGATCGTTCCCGGCCCCAGTTGACTCAGCCGAGGAGCGGAGTCGCCCGAAAACTCCGACGTGGTGTCAACTACCTATTAGAGGCTGCAGGCCTGATCTCCAAAAATCGCAAAGATAAAACACGGATAGTGGTGGCCTTGGGTAACACCAGACCGACCGGTTTGAGGACTGCCGCCGGGACGCTTCGAAAGTTCGTGTCGAACGCTGGTACTCCTTTTCCGTTCGCATAATGCAGTACAACCCAATAGACCAATACCCAGGAAAGCTCCCTATTTGTACGCTAGAACCTAATCATATGCTGCATGACTGAGTTGGATCAATCCAATCCAGCTCAGCCCAGCTGGATTGGTGTCCGCCAACTCCGGCGCGGGCGGTCACTAAAGTTGCGAATGCCCATCGTCAATCATGAGCATTCCAAGACGTCTGCTCAGTGCTCAGAGTACTTGAGTACGGTACTTATCAGAGTGGGCTCAGATTCAGAGGTTCTCAAGCTCCCTTCTTCCCTAGCTTCGTCTTTCTGCCAGAGTCTGGTCTTTGCTACGAACCCCCTTGACGCAACGCTGATAATCTAGTATGACTTGAGCTTTGAGGAGTTGAGGGGGAAAGGGCGTAAGAAAGGTGTTAGTATCTGCGGTAATCGAAGAAAGCTGCCTAGAGAGGTAGACTTCACCTTCTAGTGGCCAGCTCCACATTCGTGCTCCTTCGTGGCCCCTTCACAGCGGCTCGACATGGGCGGCGCAATGGGAAAGAAGACGCACTTTGTGGCTTTGCAAGTTCTCTTGCTGAGCTTTCTCGTCAGCGCGCAAGGCCAGAACTCCAGCTGCGCCTCTGGTCAACTCCGCGTTAGGGGTTTCGCCAAGACTCTCACCTATGTTGTAGCAGAGCAGCAGGGGTTCTTTGCCGGGGAGGGCCTCTCGCTGTGCTTTACCCAGGTAAGTCTTGGAAGTCGCCTTGTCCTTCGCTGAACAGAGTCAAGCGGAGAGGATGGGGTTGTCAGCATTTGTGGTGTTTTCAAGACAAGGTTCCACATACCCACCTACAGCTGTTGTTCGTACCCACAAGACAGTCATGAGACAGTCATGTACATATCGATGGAGCTCGCATATATCACACCACAAATGCTGGTCACTGAACTCAGACAAGCACAGGCACAATGAAGAGACACAGTGGTGCGATACAGCAGCTTAGAAGCCCGGCCAGGTTAAGTAATCAGTTATAGAGCGCTAACATAACGGCTGCTCCTGAATTGGTACCATTAGCAAATCAAAGCCTTGATGGTTGGGTACGAGGCTGGCTAGCTGGATGTCAGGCGCCAACTGAACCATGCTTCTGGTCAAAGTAGCTTCTCTTCCAATGTCCATAACATGGGGACAGGAGAACAAGGCATCCGAATGATTTCAAGGAATCTGCATATCGCAGAAGCAGCACTGACTATCAGGCGCACAGGTCTCTTGCTTTCTGATAAGAGTAGAGTTGTCCTTCCAGCCACTTTGTCCTCCTGATAATGGACGCACGTACTCCTGGAAACAGCCAGAACCTTTGTCATTACTCAACAGCGTTCATTTTGTTTTCTGGTCTCAGCATGAAGTAGTGCAAGCAATGCAGAAGTAACATCTCATGTATCAAGCCTGTATGTCACACCATAGCAAAATGTTGGCGCGCGACTCTTCTACGTGGCAGCTGCGCACTTGAGCCTCAAAATGTGCAGTAGGGACAATGCTTTTGTTGACAGTTGGTGTCTTCAACTTACTTGCTCTCAGCATTGTCCTCCAGCTCTGTCAAAAGCCCGACACAATGCACCCCAGCTAAATTTGCCTTTTAACACCATTGACCCTAAGACCTTATCCTGAAAGGCACTCAAACCCTACCGAGCAATCTAAGTGGCAGTCTTCCATTGTTGGAACGACCTACATTCACGTGCTCAAAGGATAGCTGAAAGAGTCTCTTGCAAGCTGCATACGTTTTAACAGATTTTGGATTCTGACCGGAAGTTTATCGTCCACAAACAGTACTCTTCATGCAAACTCTGATGGGTTTGTGTTGTCCCTGGTGCAGGTAACTGGCTCCATCGCTCAATTCAACGACTTCAAGGCCGGCAAGTATGACATCCTATCATCAGCGCCCGACAACTATATCAACCGGTGCGTTTTCCTGAAGCCCGAAGTACTTTGTAATGCTTTAAATCCAACCTCAGGATCAATGTGAGCATTTAACGTAGACTTGCAAGCTGACCTGGTGTCTTGATTTTCGGTGCAGGGCCTTGTGGCCTTCCGTGATCCGCAAAGTGCAGTTGCCACAACACTTCAAAACATCTGATTTCAAAAACTAACAGTCCGCCATCGAAATCCTCCCCAGTTCTAGCTCTGGTCAATCCACTAACATGGCATGCTTGTTGTTTAGCAATGCTTTCAAAACCGAAAGCCAAAGTGAGCTGTTAGAGAAGCTCGATCCAAGGCCGGGGTATACTTCAAGGAGCCAGTGATAGAAAGTTCTTATGGTGCATCCGCATCCCTGCTGTCTCAGCATTTCCTACATAGTACCCGTTTTTTGCTGGCAAGCAACGAGCGCGTAGCAGCACGGAAGCCTGGCGACAAGTTGCGGTCCTTCTGTACCGCTTGATCTCAAGGATTGGCAAGTCCGTCTCAAGCAGATGTGCATCCGACAATCACGCAGTATATTCTTCTCTGCTGCAAGTAGAAGCATTGGTTTCCTACGTTTCCATGTCGTGTTGCTCCTTCAATGCGGTGCTCAGTATCGGACGGCGACTTGTAGAGCCCGGAATGTATTCTACGGGACTGTTTTGCAGAGGGACGGGCTATAAGATGTAAGTGGCGAAGACGTTTACCGTCGTTTTGGCTGCGGCCAGAGACTCAAACTTTGACACCCTCGTGTCTTTTCCACCCAGCTCACAGGACTCTTATTGAATGCTACCTAAATTGATTACCAATTAATATCGAGTCCCAGTCAAGTTCTTGGACAAAGAAACGGGATTAACCCGGCTCGAAGGCTTGCTGTCGCGCCCCAAGTCTGGTCTTCGGATATACAGCCTACTCTACCTACAAGCCTCTAACCACCCACGTACAGTTAACGTTCAAAATATCTGTGCAGCTTTGTGAACGAGAACCTCCCGCTCCAGATCTTCGCGGAGTCGGGCGAGAGCGAGGGCATTACGATGGTCGGCCCTGGGCGCCGGTGGCATAACGAGCGTGCCGGATCTGCGGGGCAAGCCTTTCCTGGTGGACGCAGTGGACTCGGGCAACTCTTTCACAGCCCAGTAAATCTTCTCAGTGTTCAATTTGACCCTCGACCGGGACTACTCGTTTGTGGTGCGACGGGCTAGTTCTTTCCTTCCCTTCTTCTTCTGAATACTTTGTTTGCAATAGACTATCACCGCGCAGGATATCTGCTCAGTCATCGACGGAACCTCGAACCGAGACTACATACCTGTGGTGCGCGCCGTTCTTACCTTCCTCTTCCCGTTGAACTTTTCCTTTTTTCTATTTGACTTGACGATCATCGCGCAGATTATCTCCTTTTTCTTCGATCGGCATGAGACTCGACCCTTTGAGGACACGTTTGTGGTACGCCTCCTTCTGACTTCCTTTCTACTCTCAAGTTTTACCCTTTGTTTCTCTTGGGACTCTCCCAGCAGGAAGTTGCAATACGCTTTCAAGTAGACGTGACTTATGTGCACAATCTGCTTCCAAAGGCCGCCGCTCTCAGTCAAAAGACGAAAAGCGGGCTCCCACAGGCTTCTTCTTTTTGGAGCCTATCCGAAAGACTCGCAAGTCAACCACCAGATCCAACCGGCTGGTTATTGGTGGAAGGGAGCTCTTCTTCGGGGCGGTGATGGAACGGAGTTGCTTGCCTTTGATTCAACCACACATCCCCAACGCGGTGTTCAACTATTTTGCAATTGCGACCACTTCTGAAAAGTATTTGGATGTTGGCGACTAGTAGCCGGCAAATACGAGCCCAAACTCGCGAGCAGCGCTGACTTGTGCAGTATCCCCGCAACAAAAGTAAGTAACCCTTCTAAGTGTTCAAATCCGGTTTGGCACCGTTTTTTTAGCACACAATCAGACCGTTTACCTGTCGAGAAAACAAGCGCAGCAGATGTTTGCTTCTTCGCAGGTCGGCGAGAGGGACACGTGTCTGCAACCAGCTGACCTGTCAGGGACAGAACATTGCGCTACAAAAGGACAATTCTCTCATCTCGCTTCGAGAAGAAGATCATCCTGGTCCAAGGAATGATTGAAGATTCTCACGACGATTTCGCAACACTCTCCTTGTTGCTTATGCAACAGCCCGTCGGCGGAACAAGTTGATCGTGCTACAAAAGGCTGCTCTCTCATCGCTCTGACATATCCGAGATAACCTGGTCGAGGGAACAACCAAAGGAATGCACGATGATTTCGCAACGCTCTCCTCGTCGTTTTTGAAACAGGCCGTCGGCGGAACGAGTTGAACGTGCTACAAAAGGCTGCTCTCTCATCGCTTCGAGAACGTCAAGATAATCTGGTCGAAGGAACAAACAAAGGAATCGACGAAACTGTCGCAACAACTCTCCTCCTCGTTTCTCAAACAGCCCGTTGGCGGAACCCCGGCGCGCGTCGCCGCACTCGTCGCGGGACAGACCCCCACCGGCACCCCCGGCTACGGCACGATGGTTACTCCCGCCGCTAGTTATGACGTCCCGCGCCTCACCAACGGCACGTGCCAGATCATCGCAGACTTTGATACGCTATGGGCGCCTCGCAAGTACTCGCAGACGGCGTGGGCCGCAGACCGGGGCTTGCTGGCTGCGAACCAAGACACCGTGCAGCGCTTCCTGAGGGCGTATATACGCGCGGGGCAGTTTATACTCGACTCCGCCAATAAGCAGGCGACGGTCGCCGGGCTGGCCCAGAGCAATGGGATCTCCCTTACGGTCTGTCGCCGTCTTTCTCCTTCCTTTAGTTTCCTCTTGCCGTTTGCCGTTCGGGTGTTGCTTGCTAATTCCCGACCCCGATAAAACGTGTACTCAGTTCGGTTGTAAAGTTTTCAAGATTTCTCCTCGTTAATGTCTCGCACAAGCAGAACCTCAAGTCCGACGCTGCTCGAGCTCACGTCCTTCGAAGGCTTCAAAAAGAAAACGCAGTCTCGGTGCAGATTGTTGCCCTGATCAAACTCCTGAGATCTGGATGCGGGCGAATATTTCCCTCTCTGAGCCGAGTACGCTGACAAATCGTGGTACCCTAGTATGCACGAGATTCGTCCACAATGCAAATCCAAGCTGGACCTCATTCAAAAACCGTTTTGCTACCAGATGAGCAGAAACTATTCCAGTTGTCTACTCTCTGTTGATCTCGAGACCTGCTTCACTGCCCATCTTTTGAAGCCAAGGCCGCGCACAAGAAACTTTCCTGGCTTTGAAGCTCTGAATTCCGGTGCTTTCAGACCCGTTTATTCTGTGGTCCGGGGCCGACAGACCACAGCTGTTAAAAGGAACGACAAACCGTCTGTGCATGGCGCCCAGACTGTAATAACCGTTGCCTGTTCCCCGGTGCTGTCGCAGGCTGCGCAGCAGTACTTCGACGACAGCTTCGCGCGTTACGGCCAGACCATCTTGGGCAAGATCGACAAGAAGTCGATCCAGGGCGTCGTGGACCTGCGTAACATGTTCGGCGGGTTTCGAGTCCCGGTTGATAGCGCCGCACTAGTTAAGGAGTCGCTGCACCACGGGCTGATCACGTCCGAGTACTGGGGCGAGCCATACGCGGCGCTGCGTGCTTGAGTCGAGTAGTACTTAGAAATGGGCTGTGTGCTCTCAGGGCTTTCGCGTTTGGGCTTGTAACGTCCTACTTTTCACCAGATTTTAGAGTCGCGCGTCAGAGTGTTGTGAATATGTGAAGTCACTGGCATGCAGGTTTAAAATCGGCTGCGGTTCAAAGCCAGTGAATGTCTATGTGAATTTAGTGGAGTCGTTGATCAAGGAACCATGCTTACCTTGGGCCGGCCATGCAAAGTGATGAACCGGCCTGCATCAAGCCCCGAGTTCAAAGGAGTCACCAAGTGTGTTGCGTGCCTACTAGTAGCCTGAATCAGTGCACACGGCCCCACTGGGCCAGCGTTCGAAAGCTATACCAGCTGGCTGAATCTGTACTAACCGAACGTGTTGAAGTCAATGATGGCGGTGGGGGCGGCATGCATACCGGCCTGGCCAGGCAGGCACAATCCGATGATGGGCTTAGAGCCGGCCATATATGCATGTTGGATCTTCAAGTTGGATCGAACGTGACCCGTATCATATGCGTGCTGCATGTGCCATGAATGTACTATAGAGCAGAACTGGATTAATCCGCTTACAGAATGCAATGATGCCATCGAGTAGCTCGATCGAACGATCCGCATCATTTCAAAATTCAGACCTAGCTTCGCCGTCGACGGCGACGGCCCGGCCGTGCCGCGCCTATCGAGTCTCAGTCTTAGGCCCGGCTCCACATGCATCCGATCGCGACAATTGAATGAATACATTGAGCAATTCAATCATGTGATTGACGCCATGATCCGACAGTGTCGGAGTATATTATGGCAATCCAATGACCGTACCATCAGTGAGAGCTACACATAACTATGATGCAGGACACTAAGGATAAACGTACCGCAATGCATTCCGGCCACAATATCATGCAAGTTTGGATCACCACGTGATTGGACTGTCACTCTGTTCTATATATTGATTTAAGTGCATAAAAAACTTTCAAGAACCTTCAAATACAACGATTGAGTGTCTGTCGTAATGGACGCGTCCTTTCAAGTCAGCAGCAAGCCCGCAGACCCGCGCTCATCCCCGTGTTTCAATGCTCTGCAAACCTTTCAAACGTTCGCTTTGATTACTGCTTTATTCAGCAGTCAGTAACAAAAGAATATGATCTCTGCCCAAGAACTTACATGGTCATGGAACCTCGTCATTTTATGCCGAATGGCGACTGTGGGCTCAAAATGCAATCTGCTCTAACGCTGGCGTCGTAATTCCGCGGCACGTCTCCTTATGTCCTGCCCTCCAAGCCAGTTTTTGACACTGGGCCCCGCAATATCTGGCCTGCACGTCGGAAAAAAGGGCGATTGGTATCACACCAGAACATTCTTGGTTTTGTGTGTAGACTGCTGCTGACTCAGGCAAACGGAGATCGAGGCAATCTCATAGCTATATGGCAGAATACGCGATCATCGATGTGGGCGACTCTAAATTTCTTGTTTTGGACCCGTAAAGAATCACGTGGTGCGCTATGCAAGTAAAAACTCCGTCCTGCGTCAGACATGCCGGAGAATGCGACGACGTTGCGCTTCTACATACAAGCGCCAACATAAGAAGTTCCGGCTCTGAATAGGAGAGGCTTTCCAGCCAGCAAACCAACGCATAATACAAGAGGGACCTTCCAGGGACCAGTACGGCCATGCCGACCCTCCTGCTGTTGTTGTGAGCCGCTTCGATTGAACACAGAGCCAAGCCAGAAGGCAGACAGAAATGCTCGAGACTAATGCACAGTCCGTCAGTCCGCTTGACCAGACTCCTGAGCTGGAGACTCGAAACTCGGCCGTGCAGATTGCCACGCTTAGTCCCGAAACGGCCCAGGAGCTGAGATCAGCACACACTGTGCTTACTACCAGGTAAACGCAGGCAGTACGACATGACCTTTTCAGTCTCGCATCCAACATGCTAACAGAGTACGGTAAGTAGAAAGCGACGAAGACAGTGTTCACATGACAAAAGCGTAAACGAGACGTCTTCCGGGGAGGCTCTCAGTGGACCAATGAATCAGAACTGTCGATTCCCGTACCTTGTTGCACTTGCTGCACTTCTTGAGCTTCGCCCCGTCTTTTGCCGGCTCTTGGCAGTGCTCGCAGACCCTTGCCGGCTTGTTCCTCGTTTCTAGCGGATTCGCCTCCTCAGTCGGTGGCGTTCCGTTTCCGGACGTCGAAGCTCCGGAACCGCTCGCTCCGGACTTCTTCTTTGGAGGTCTCGTCGGGCTGGATTGGCGAGCGTCTGCCAAGAATCAGGGCAAGACCAAGATGAATTATAATGGGCGTCGGGGTTGCCTGACGTGAGCCGCTATCTTGGACGACGTCATAGATTGGACGGAAAGTTCTTGATGGCTTCCGCACCGGTCAATCGTCTTTGTCCGTGCATGGCCTACGCCCATGTTGATAAGGATCGGAGGCTTTTCGGCGCTCATAACATTCTTTCGCAAAACACCTCTGCTAGTAATAAGATTTTTCAATCAGCTCTAAGGTCAGAGTTTGAGTTAAGACTCTGCACGAGGAGGGCCTCTGCTGAAATCGTCTGCTTGTGGACACTGAAAGACCGTGATTACCCCCCAGTCTGAGGATTTTACTTGATCGGAAAGTATCCAATGATCGGGCGACCATTAGGCAGGTCAGGCAAGACACTCAAAGTTGTTTAGAAAGGGCTCTCAAACACCGTAAACCGCAATCGGCCTGCGTGGATAGGCCGGTCGAGACCCCCAGCTTGAAAAGCTCTATCCGAGGCTTCAATTTGACGAAATGTAAGAGCTTTTTGAATATCCGAGGCTATTGTTCGACAAAATGTAAGAGCTTTCTGATGGTTCCTTCACTGCTCCCAGACTCCACCTTCATTTGCCGGAACCGCACACCATAGGAGAAAGCCAACGCAAGACTGCTACAGGCTAGTTCCTTTCTAGTCAATGCTGAAAACGAGTTTGGCAACCTACCCTCCAGCTCTTTGCACGCCTTTTGGTACTCCGCCAGGTGTTTCCTGACAGCTGCCGCCGTCACTTTCTGCATCCGGACCAAGGCGTTCACAGCCTCGTCGAATGCTGCTCTGCGCCGCCCCACCAACACCTCTTTCGCGACTGCATCAGGGTCCGTCAAACACTCTGCAGACATGCGTCCAACCATCAGGATGAGGCGCTGAGAAGCATAGAACAACAAGTGTTCGACAGTCGACAGCTTCAAGAAACAAGTTGCAAAAGAAAAGCTGTGGAGCGAATTGACGAATAGATTACGTGGAGAATGTATCTCGTTTCTGTCCCTTACATTCACTTCCGCTCCGCTGCATTTGAGCAGAATTGGCAGACAGGTCAACAATCTTGTCTTGGAGAGAATTGTGCTTGAAACGGTAGCAAAACATCTAGTGTGCATCTTTTGATAGGAAGGAGGTCCCCGTAAAAGAGAGGGGGCCCGACCATAAATGGTCTAAGGTCCAACGTGTTCCTGCAATACGGTCACTATCTATCAGGTTTGCTTGTCATGCTGTTTCCCAAGTTCGAAGAACTCATGGCAATCGAATATACCTGCCGTGATGATCCCTGGCTTACAATCTGTCCTGACTCGCCTTATCGTAAGCTCCCACCTTCTTGTACAAAACTTCTGTCACGGACTGTTTACAGCCTTCTCGTTTCTGCCGTCAGAGCATGTCATGCAATCCAGGGATGGCCGCCTCGCATAAGGCCAATCGGATCGAGTCCTCTGATCGGAGCCAGACAAAGCAACGCAAAAGAGAACGGTGCCGGCGGATCTTTTGTAGACAGCGAACAGCGGAAAGAGTCTCGCAATTGGCGACCATCTCCAAAATCAGAACGACTTTTGAAAAGTTGGAGAGCAACTGACCCGTGTCTCGCAACCACGTCTCCACCTTCTCCCTCTGCTTCGGGATGATCTTGTGAGCATACTCTTGATCGTTCGTCATCTCAGCACACGCCTTTGCGGTGTTGATCCGCTGTCGGTTTGAGGCCGGAAGCTTCAAGGCGGCAAGCCACTCTAAGTAGCCTCCCGCGGCGAACAGGTCTATAACATCCATTTGACACGCCTGCGGAAACGAGCGATTGAATGAACGACAGCGCACAAAAGCAGCGAAGTCAGAATGGCCCGAGAAGGCAGTTAAGAATGATCCGACTCGGAGTAGACAGCCTTGACCACACTCCGGTGCTGGTTTGTGCAGATACAGAGAGGCACAGGCACCCCTGCATCGAACGAGAACTACACTCGGTTCCTGTGACAAATCAAGTGGCCTTCTCCAAAGCGGTTCACTTCGTGATCGCCTGACGTAAAGTTGGGACCACCACCGGAAATTCCATATCTGGAACATACAAAAAGCCGCTGGGATTCTTTTTCAATCACGAAAGAGACGCACAACGATCCGAAAAGCCTCTCTTCAATCTGGATAAACAAGTGACGCGTGTCGTTGAAAATCCGTTTCTGGTTCAAAAAAGAGTTGTGCTTTATGAAGGCTGAACGAATCCAGAAACAAAAGCCAGTCGATCGAACGCCTCACCTGTGCTTACGGTCTCCACTGTGATCGAAGCCAACACGCCGGCTTGCATCGACCAAGTTTTCGAGAGAAAGGGTCGACAAAAGCAAATCGGGTCCTCACCTTCATCACGATGTTGTCTGCATCTGCGGCTTGCAACCGCATCAGCTCGCAGAAGAGCGATCCATTGCTCCAGGCCCTAGTACCCTGGAGATCCTCGTCATCACTCCGCGTGTTTTCGGCTAGACACCTCGCCAGGCCGAAGTTGTCGAAGGCAAGCGCGGCTGCGCAAGCCAGCGCCTGCGGGTCAAGGATCGATCTCGTAAGCTCCGGTTATTAACCCATGCTAAAGCAGGACTCTTAACCGAGCCTTTACAGGTTTGTATCGTGCGTCATTCACGCTCTGTACCGTTCAACCAGACATGAGAGAATCAGTAACATTCGAGAAACTTGCTGTTGAGAGAGGAAGATGCGCAGCGATCGGAGAAGTCCTCTTGAGCGACAAGATCAGCCAACTGTTGTACCAAGACCTTTCTTGGGTCCTGAAGGTCATATGCGTCCTAGATCTCTGTAGCAACTTATCAGTCTCATGATGCCTTTCTTGAAAGTAAGAAACAGGTGGACGCTTTGGAATAGTGAAGACCTAGCGCCACCATTCAAGCGGTTCTTCCGCAATGTGCCTGATGCACGCACAACTCATGAAGTACGCTTTCAGGGTGATTTTTTGGTCGGGATCGAAACTTTCTGTGACTCAAATTTTTGAACCCCAGCGCTCCTGCTGTCTTGATTGGATGAGAGGTCAGCATTACAATAGCTGATTCTCCAGGAGGTAAGTGTAAGCTTCTCATCACGAGTGGTCAGGTTGAAGGCAGACCTTTTGATTCCGCTTGCGCCCTGAGTCAGACTCAACAATTGCCAAGAAAGAAAGGAGATACGGACGGGCCTCAGTCCGATAATGCCACTTCATACTACACATGTAAGGAAAACACTAGTGGGCCAACTGTGCTGACCTGTTCGTCGTGCATTTGCCCTCCCCAGGGCTCGCACTGTTCCAGGATGGGAACCAGTCTTTCTATGACGTCGCCTTCCTTTCCCCGCGTACTGTTGGCGACGGTTTCCAGGAGGATGTCCCAAACCCAGGAGCACTCAAAGGAGTAGTCCCATGCTGAGAACATCTCTTGAGCGTAACCGGAGACATGCTCCACTGCAAATCAAGATAAACCTTTTCAGAATGTATGAGCATTATTCAAAAAGGATTTCTCGAAGGGCCCCGCAGTCCCAAGATGAAGCGAGCACCATCTTACAACTTGTCAGCAAGAAAAGATAGTAGCGCCCGACAAACAAAAGAGTAGCCCATGTTGCAAACACTCTGTCAACTAGCCCAGAGATATGACCTCACTGCAAATCAAGCAAAGGTCCCTCTGAGTACGTATCTGCAGTTATTTTCAAAAGGGCCGGCAGTCGTTGGAAAGATGGCGCAAGCGTCGTCTTGCAGATTTGCGCAAGCAAGCATGAAGGCGCCCACGCACTCCAAGGGTGATTCGTGCAAATAGCCCGAGAAGCATAATCTCACTTCCTAGGGTCTGCATTTTTGGGGAACCTAGTCTTGTTGAGGTTGACCACGATGTTCAGAAAAGGCAGAACCGAAACCAGTGGCGGGAGCTTCTTGCTCTCATTGGCAGACACATAAGATCTACATAAAGCTTTTGATAGGTTCCACAATCCAGTCTGTATGGACTGATAGAGGGCACAAACGTTCGGGGCCCCTTCAGCCATGCCCAATCTCCTGAGACGAGGCCTAGCGAGACATTATAAAATGCACAGTAAGATCAAAGTTTTCTGAATCCATGTCTGCAAAACACAACCTTACCGCCGTCGCTGCTTCCTAGGAGTTTGGCGAGCCGCTCTAGTTGCTCATTGGAGCAGAGCGGCAGATACGGCGTCAGTGCTTTAGCGGCGTGCTGACATGTGTATGCAAGGTCATCAAACTCATCTCGCTCCTCATAAACCCTCGCAAGGTCAGGCCCGCAGCAGGCAACCTCACCAGCTCATCCAACACCGCTTTCAACTTCTTCGCCGCCTCTAGTTCGCTGGGGCAGAGTGTCCCCCACATTCTCTTGTTGTCTTGTGGAGAATCTTGGCTCGCACTCGCTGCGTGTTTCAAAAAGTCGCTCCTCAGGTCCTTCGCTGCTCTGCCTGACAATTGGAACTCAAAGGGGAGCTCGTCAATCTCCAGAACCTCCTTGTACTCTCCCACCAGTGCCTCCCTGTATCTGATTTTGGCCATGCCAGCCTCCACTGTTAGCTGCTTCCTCTCCCCGTCCCCCAGTTTCTTAAAATTCTCTTCCAAATTCCCCGGCGGCCTCAACACTGTGGCTCCCATGCAACGCTCGTCCTTTTCCTCCAAGAATTCCATGTACGGGTCGTGCCCCGAGAGGTCGCTGTCAAAATCATCGCCCCTCCGGTCAAGCTCCCCTTTCGCGACCACCGACCAGCCCTTAAACTTCTGCAAGAGCTCCCGCCGAAGCTTGACGACACTGATCTTCTTGGCCATTGCTGCAATGCCAACACTAGCTGGACTGCCTTCAGGGACTGGCGTTCGATTCCTACAACAGAGCTGTGCGCCCAGAACCCCAATGGCAAGTGACAACCTTTCATGAGCCTGAGCTGGCGCCAAACATGCAGCCAGAATTGTGCATTCCGGTTTTCAGAGTAAAAGGTCGGGCGGAAGCCATTTTACCGGAATCCGTTCGCTCAGAGCTTCCGAGCAGGCTGTCGTGACCGTCGCGCGTGCGAGCGCGTCGGACGGGATTCTGATCCCGCCGTGGTGGCTCCCAGTGTTCGATAGGGATATCTCCATGATATTTCAGACACTTGCAGACAAGTAGCGCAGATGATCCGATCGCCTTGAATCAGGAGGCATTATGCTCCGACCGCGGGCCGTGAATAGCACTGATCAATGGTGCAGCAATTGGCAGCACATGATTCGATAGCGGTTTAACTTTAAGCTACCCAGGTCTTGAGATGATGCACAACATCCGACTTTTGAGGTATGCCGTGGCGGTCCAATTCACGCCTATCATTACAACCTCGATCCTGATTAGTTCGAGATAGAAGACCGGCCGGTCATGTACGTGCATTGCATCCGCCAACCTGGCAGCAACGGCATGAATCTTGGCTTAGCTCGTGCGGGGATCGGACTCTTGAGACGAAAATTTCAAGCGAGTCTTTACCTCATCACCTCACCACCTCCTCACCTCAACAGCTTTTCATGAACAAAGTACGTCTTCAAACCGACGTTGTACTTGGTACCGGCTGCTCAAACCTTACCACGTCTCTCAAATTCAATATGCGAGAGAGACGTCATTGACGTTTGGGGGGAATCAAAAATGATACCGCATCATGCTCCAAGAAGCGGTCATGGCCCGCTTTGATGTGTCCGTTAATCGCCCGTGTCAGGCTTGAGCCACTTATTGCCCCCCTTTTCAGAGGCAACCCACTTGGAACCGAAACCAAAGCCGTATCCATAGCCCACCCCGACCTGCAAAAACGGCCAGGTACAGGTCAATAAGCGCACCCTGCTGAAAACACGAAGGCCCCACGAAGGCAGCAACGAAAGTCGATGGAGATGGGCTGACGAGCAGTGAAAACTGCTTATCAGCGTACAAAAATGCAGTAGGAAGGATAAGAGCGATACATCTGCGAGAACATGTAAGCAGACATGGTCCTTTACACCCACCACCTCCGGCCAAGCCAAACATCAGACCAGGGCGGAAATTGAAAGATCCTCAACCGAGAAACTGGTCTTTCAGAGAGGATGAAAGCCTGAATGCGCACTTCCGGCCAAATTTCACCCTGGAAATTGCCTGTTCCTGTTTAAACGGAACAGTCACTACGCTGGGATTATAGCTAAGGGGCCTCGCAAAAGATTGGTCGCAGGTCCATGCTTTTCCGCAGTCCGTCCTGTCAGGCTCAGCGCATGGCTGCGGCCATTGAATACTTCAGAGGCATACAAGCAGCTTCGTGAGCAGCGAAGTGTCTTACAAAGTTGCTTTTTAACGACAACTGAGAACCACCACAGATTAAGGCAATCTTTGGTGGTTACGAGGAACTCTCGTGATTGGAAGGGCAGCTCGGATTGCCAAACCAAGCCTCTACGACAAGCTAAAACCCGCTCAACTCGAAATGCATCTGGAATGGAGCCGGAAAGTAACGAACGCCTTTGCAGAAAACAACCTCATTCGGACTGAGTATTCTAGAACCTTGCGCAAGTAACTTGAGCGTGGAAAAAGAGATTGCACCGTGAAAGGCCTATAAAGCAGAGCGCGGTTCGTTGTTTCCAGGACCAAAGGCTGCTCACTTCTAAGCAACCGAAGTTTCAGGATGACATGGAAGAATATCACTGAAATGAAACCACTAGCTAATGACATATTCAGGGAGCGGGAGTCAGGGAGAAAGTCAGGCATACTCACTCCACACCCCACACCAACCCCCATCACGAACCGGAGCGAATTTCCGGAGCCTATCCCCAGCCCCCAACCCCCTGTAATCCCAGCCCCAATGCCTACGCCGCAACCCATTCCGGCAGCCCCCCCAGGACCTAACACCTTCTTCCCCCGCTTTCCTTCTATTGCAACGACTGGGGGATCCTTCAAGAACTGGCCCCATTGCTTCCCTACTCGGTCGATGCCCTCGCGAACGCGCTCCCCGGTTGGTCGGATCACTGCAGGGGCAAAAGAGGGTGCTTGGGATCTTAAGAGTCATAAGAAACGAATCAATGGACGCCCAGGGTGAGAGTCACATCCTCATGTCGAGCCTTTGAAGGTTCAGAAGTCAGCCGACTTTTACGGAAAATCATGTAAGAATAAAGTATGGTCAACCTTCTAAAATCACGTGGTTGTACTCCGTCGCGACAGACGGGACAGTCTGGTTGATTAAAGGGTAAACTACTCGACTTGAAACGTTCTTTAGGGTGTGAACCTTGAGGTAATTCCCAACCATATCACCGGTGCAAGTGACTTGAGACACTGTCACCTTGTAACAGCTTTTCATGTTACTCTGCCCTCATCTCGTCTTGTGCCCCAGTTTGTCAGCTCCAAGACTCCAACTTCAATCTACAAGGGCAAGCCTCCAGAAGTGGGTGCCTTTACATAGACGGCACCGATTGCAACCTGGAAACTAAACGTGCCTGAACCTCATGGGACTTCAGTACAGGGCAATGCCACAAGGTCCCAGCTTGGCTTTTAAATTTGATGCAGAAAGATTCTGGGCTTGACCGAATGTGGTTGGGACTCAGCTTTCTTCACAGCAACGGAATTTGCGTCATATAAAGTGTTTGCCAGGGGACAGCGCTTGAAATACATTCTGCCTTTCTGACATGACGTCGAAAACCAAGATTTTGAACTGCTTCACTTTGTTCACCAGCCAGCAGAAAGGCATTCCAATTGAGCTGATTGCACCAGCTGCCTCGCAACCACCATGTAGTAAAACTTCCTAGGAAGCACCACCACCAGACAGCTCAATGTGTCCTATTCACTTCACGGAAACTGACCCGCCAACTGCATGCAAGCACCTAGCCACAGCAACTCAAGCTGTGCATCAGCTCACTTTCAGGGACTCTCTCTCGGAAACTCTTGGAATGCTGATTCGCCGCCTCCAAGACTTCGTCATCCTCGTCTTCGACCCAATTGGCTGCAGGAATGACACCGCCCCTCTTTGAGAAATTTTGCTCGGACAGCCTGGTCTCAGCTGGCAAAAACAGCTGCCTTGTGACCCCCGGTGAATCCGTGAAGGCAGAGGGGTAATCCTGGATAGAAGCCATTGCGGTGCAGTAAATTCAGTGTTTCTATAAACGTGCTGAGAGAAGAACGCCCGACTCTCTTTCTCCTGCCATTTGCACTCTGGCAGTCCGAACTGACAGGTGGCAGTGGGCACCCGGCCTGATTCCTGACAAACTTCAAAGTGCAAAGTTCAAACTGCCACCTCAGCTTCAGGAGCCTGGTATCGAAAATGGCCACCGTCGATCTGGTTGGATCGGGATATCACCTAGCTTCCATCCAAAGAATCTGAAAAGAATCCTTAATATTACAAGATACAGCGACTCAGGAGTCAGTAGTAAGTACACAGGTCCAGCTAGGCCGGCCGGGCCAGGGCCCTGGCAGGCTAGCTAGGCCCAGTGGGCCCTATGCTATAGTATCCATGGTCTATAAGGGTCCGTTCTCATGACATTTGAACGAGGCCAGTGGACATTTATGCGTTTCATGTGGCTCGATTTGCGCTAGAGCACACGACTTGGAGTAGAGGCTAAGAGGATCCGTTTACTGCCTAAAGCTAGCTGAGCAAATACCTACGCTGCCCCGTGTGCCCCGGCGTAGCCTGGGGGCCCACTATGGTTGGGAGCCACCTTAGAGGTTATATGGTGGGGACTTTCCAAAGCTCGCGGGCCCGAGCAGCCATAGTATCATGCTGGCCATGCACGATATATATCTTACAGACATGCAGCAACGCATAAGCCTGACTTCCGCACGATTCTAGCTGGGCTAGCCGCCGACCTAGCACAACACAATGTACCACGTGGCGGGGCCGTTGGACGAATTACAACATTTCCAAGGGTTAAGCATAATCCAATGGAGATGAGACTAATATGGCACTCACACCGCTTAAGAAATATGAAAGTACGTTAGGACCATAGTGGTCCAAGATTTCAAGTGCTCGATGCAGGCCATACATGAAACACCTTGGGGTTTTTATGCGGAAGAGTAGCATGCTTCAGTGCCGCGCGCATGTATCTTAACAAGGGATTCAATCAATCTCTCCTGACTCTTTTGAGAATGCAGCATGATAAAGACAGTCGCTTAGGCCAACAAGCTGGGATTTATGAAAGACACGAACACGATGCATGCCAACGCTTCAAATACTTGCGAGGGTCCATGGAAGATTGCGAAGAAGCACAAACCTGAGTGGTGCCAAAGGCCATGACAAAGGACCCGACAATCTGATGTTTGCTTTCAAGCAATGCTTTTATCGAGAAATCACCATCTATTGATTCGTCATATAGGCGCCTAGCAAGTCTCAATCAATTGACGGTTTAGCATACACGCATAATATTCGGCACGATGAGAATCCGTTCAGACATACGCCGGACAACCCTCGATTCTGCATAGAACTTGGAGGTGTGGCAAAAAGCACGGAGCACAAACCGCTAGAGATTGCATTGTTGCGACCTTGAATTCTCGTGCCAGACACTCTCTTCGCTCAACAGAGTGTCGAAAGTAAATGTCCTCAACACGTAATCACCAACTCACCTAGAGCCTTATGCATTAGCTGAAGCGTAATGCTTTTGGAGTTCTTCTCGCAGCTTGTCAACCTTCGCTCCAGTATGAGAGTGGATGAGCTCTTCGTTGCGATAGAATCTGAAGCTCGGGACGGACCTCACCTTCCAATCCCGCATAAGAGCCTGCAATATACCACCAATAACAAGAGCTTGAGGGGACTGCATGCAAGAGAACGCTTTGAGCAGAGTCTACAAACATGACAGACAACATCGGTCTGACTTCCGAAGCACCTTCACCAGTGCCTTTTCAGCAAGTTGACAACCATGACGGCACAAGCAAACTTCAAGTGGGCACTCCAAAATAGAGGATTTGCTCCTTCTTCAGTCAGACGCAGCTTCGAAGCTTGAAAACAAGTTTCGCTGGCCCTGAAGGATCGAGGGGCAAGGAAGCTTGAGGTGTGCATCTGGATAGCAGTGAGGGGTCAAGATGATGTACAAACTTCGTACCCGGGTTCCAGCGTCATGATCGCCCTGGATCTTCAAGAAGACCGCGTCAGTGAACTCCTCGCTCATCTCTACGAATTTCGGGCTGCATCAAGGAATGAATGACGCAGTAAGGAAAAGCCTCACCCTTCATGCATCGAACAAAAAGTCGAAGCAGATGGCAATCTGGAGAAACTGCCTGCTCTTCATACTTCAAAATGATGCAGCGAGCAGATAGGCAAGTGAACACGGTTTGAAAGGGTCAATATGGAGAAGAAATGGAACCTTTGCAGAAACACTCGGACTCCATTGCTACTTCCGGGAAAAGGGAACGACACAGTATAATGTTGAAGGGGGACAAGGCTATTGTAACGGGGACTCACTATATCATTTTGCAGGGCCCGCAGGTTTTGGTGGAGATATCCACAACCACCTGTCAGTATCACGTACCCACACCGTCAGCGAGCTGTGACGAATTGTTTCAACAGATTTTCTGTTAGAATCAACGGCGGATGCTCTGACATTTTACCCTCCAAGATGGAATTTGAACCAGGCACCAATCAGTAGACAATCTAATCATGAGTATCGATCCTTGCAATTTTGGCCAGCTCTGGCAGCTTCATATGCAGCATTACGTGCTTTCGAATTGGTCCAAATTGGGGAGTGCTTGATCCAAGGCAGTGCTGGGGTGGCAGTGTACATCAATTGCAGGCGCCGCGATCGGTGCTGCTCTACTAACGTACTCACCAATTTGTCCCCAGCATCGTGCAGATGCTTCCTGAACGTTTCCTCTACAAAGACGTAAACAAAGGATCAACGCGCAGTCTAATCAGTCAGGATAATCTACTGTAGACACCACAGTCCAATCACAAGCAGGCAGTCCTCAGAGAGTTGTTCAATGACGGCAAGCACGTTCACCTGCGCATTCCGAAATTGAGCATGGACCATCAAACAATCTAAATGGTCGTAAATCGTCGTGAAGTGTGACTCGCTGGACGATATGGAGTTCAAGTTTGCAAGGGTTTACGTGTTAAGGCCAAACCAGAGGCAATGGGCAACAACCAATGGCACGCGCATCCATTCTTGCATTAAAGGACCAGATTCTGTTCCAACCCACATTACTTCAGTTTCCAGAATTGCATCTGCCCTTTGTGGAAGCATAAGATTGTGTTTAATTTATAAGAACTAAAGCAAAAGGTCCACGCTTCTTGATGAAAACACTTCAAAATCTTCTAGACACCATCAACCAGCTTGGTGGAACGCCAAGGGTACAACCGGAATGCAGAGAATCACAAGCCGTGCTCTTCAATGCTTGTGTAGGTACTCACCATCAAAAAACTCAACCACGTTGCCGTCACTGTCGTCTTCACCCCCCAGCCCGCCAGCAGCACACACAGTCTGCCTAGTCTTAGAAATTTGTGATGCATGTCGGGACGCAACACTCCGGAGTGTTGTATGTGTGGCCAACTGTTGTTGCGGCATAATCCTCGATTGCTTGTGCCGAGCCTCCACATTGAGGCACATTGGCTGCACACACGAGCATGCATCCCTGCTCAACTGCCTCCCCTCTAGAGCTTGCCCATTGAAGAGTGGGACTCCCGCCCTCAAACTAATTGACGTGGCCGCCATGGACGCCATCGTGCGGACCCTTCCAAGGGATGTGGAAGGACGCCGCTGCGCGCAATGAGCTGGCTGGTGTTTGAAATTGGACTTCGAACTTGAAAGCGAAGGGGAACCTGTTTTCCATCTTTTGAATCTGTCTCGACATTGTGAACTGAATCTTTACGTTTGACACAGCAAACTCCGGTTTCCGAGGGAGATGACTCGGACAACAATTTCGAGGGGGTCGGCTGGATGAACGTACACCAAGTTATAGTAACCCGGATACGGTAACCCTCGATCTTGAATGTGTGTTACCCTAGTTGATGGTTGAAAGGTCTGTGGTGGTTACATAATGCTAAACTGCCGGTCAAGGTTGTGCCCGGGGGTCTTTGATTGAGCTGTTGCCACGTCGAAAAGACACAAACTATACAGTGTCAAAGCTGCTGCGAGAATGTGGCACGCGTTGCGCGAAAGTGACGCACCCATGTTCTTTTTGCTGCTCCTCGGAGTCTTCTTTCCAGACCATTCTCTCTAGAGCCTCTCTTACGAGTCTTACTAGGTCTTAGTTAGGTCCCCAGGTGTTGAAACTATATCAACGTTGGGCCAGCTGCCAAGACCAGGTGCATTAAGAGTCTGAGAACTTAAACCCGTCTGAGGAGAAAAGCTTGAAAGTCTGCTCCGCTTTTCTACGTGGCACTCCCTGCGGCATGTGAATTGCCCCGGCTTCTCTCAGCTTGTCGATAGTCGGAGGACTCATAACTTTCTTGGATTTTGGTGTAAAAGCAGGTTGTTGTGGAGGTAGGGATTGGGTGACGTGCATGAACAAACCACTGCCGGAATAACCTGCTAGGGCACTGTCTCCACCATTTTGCAGGGCTTGCGGGCTTGCCAACCAGAGAGCCATTTCAGAGGGCACGGTATGGACATCTACGGTCACTGAATGCATGTTCTTTGCAGCATTCTTCCCAGGAGACTTTCAGCAGCATTTTGTTCAATGGAAGGGTCCATACTCATTGCTGCATCAGAACGAAAGGAAACACAGTCAAGCAGACATTTGCCCTTTCCAAGTGACTTTGTTTGGCAGAACGCAACTCGAAGCTTGTTCTGCATGAAGCTCCATTTAGGTTCTCAATTCAAGCCTGAGAGGTTTACTGGACGCACACTTTCAGTAGGGAACTGCTGTGCTTTTAGGTCGTTCTGTGCTTGCTGAGATAGGTCTTGCAAGCATGGCATGTCGTTTAAGCATCACACGCCACTTCGTTTAGATGCTACATTCTTTAGTAATCAAGGCAATAAGGCTGCGGCCTCCTCAGAATGAAGTGGCAGTCTTTTGTAATTCAGCCAATGCAGGAGTCTTTCTTTTCGCATGGTATTAGCCGGCGCCCTGACGTCTGGGAGCTTGGTTTATGGGTGTGTTAATTGAACGTTTTGTTTACTGTGTGTGCGGCATTGTTTAGGAAGTCAGAAGTGTCGCCTTGGACTTGTGGAGCTTAATTCTACATGCCTGTCGGTCAAAGGTATGATATAGCTCCTTATCAGCAGCTGCTGTTGAAGTCAGTCCCTCATTCTTGTCCAGAATAGTGAACAAAGCTTGTAAGTAAGAATGTCAGACGCCATGACTGGAATATCTTTTCAGCCTGGCATTCAACCCCGACCAATGACATTCAATTCTTGTCCAGGCGTTTGTGTGGTCACCTCATTTTCTTTTTCTCCTCGTCTATCTTGTGAAAATGGTCATTGTACCTGCGCCAATGCAGGTACAATCACTGGGATGTAGGCAACCTCACGGACCCCGCAGGCGGGAGGGTGCACTTGCGGGGAATAAGGGACGGGGCCATAGGCTCAGGGGAGGGGCACTCTGCTTGACACTGAAAACGATTGGAAGATTGCGAGCGCTTCCCCTGAGGAGTCTTCCGCTTGGAAACGCGACATTTCCTCTTCTTAGGTCTGCAAGTCCCCTCAAGGCAACAGAACAGCTGAGGCTGAAAGAAGGCAAGAGCGCGTAAGTGCCAGACGCTAGCTGAGCACTATCTGACGTTCAGACAAGACCTGCTCAAAGAGTGCTGCGCTTGTTCTGGGGAGGGCCAGCAGGAACAGGCAGTGTCTACTCGTTTGGCGGGAAGGGAGCCTTGACCCGCGGCAGCGCACTTAGACATAGCGGCTAGCATTCGCTCACACTGAAGGGGCTGTAGCCGCCATGTCTATGCGGACCGACGCCAACTCTGGCTTGCCAGCGACTGGGGCGCCCAAGGGGCGCAGCGGACTCATCCAGAGTGCCATCCCGACCGCAATCTCGAGCTCCTGGAAGTACCTGAAGAACGTTGGAGGCGGTTCGGGGGTGCTCGGGGAGGACGCCGGCGCGGCGCCACTTGGCGCCCCTAGGATTGGTGTCTCTGTGGAGGATACTAAAAAGAAGGAGCAGGTGCGTGACTGGGGGCTTTATCTGTGGTCTTGTAAATACGCAGCTTAGCTGGCATTCGATTGCACAGTGTTGACACACTGCAACTGAAGCAAAGGAGTAGGCAACACGCTGTGTGTCGATTGTATGTTTGTCGCTCGGACTGGTCGATTGATGTGCAGGGTCCTTTTGTTGGTTGAAGTTCCATCCTTGGTTTTAGATAATGAACCTGAACAAAAGTTCTGCTGATTCAGCAACCTTTCGACAATGGCTCAGGTATTTTGTCAGTTGCTTTTAACATCATCCTGGTTCATGTTGTCTAATCAGCTGCATTGACATCCATCATAGGAAACATCCCACTTTCTGCAGCTCCTATTTGGTCACTCAACTCCTATGATTGCTTCCTGCCGTGTTTGTAAACATCCTTCTGGCAGCATATTGGCGTCCAACTCCAGGGCGTCACTCTCTGTAGCCATTTCCAGCACAACATGGAGTCTTTGCAAGCTTATTCCGAAGGTTTCCATCTGTCCTTCTCAACCTAAAGCAGACCGGAAGAAGCACAATCCACCAACTCTCAACCCCATCCCTCACAGGTCCTCTGGGCGAGCTTCGACTCCCTCGACATTGCCCCCGGCACCTCCCTCCGCGTCCTCCTCCTCACCTACTCCAACGGCTTCCAAGCATGGGACGTCCACGAGGCCGGAGACGTGCGCGAGCTCGTCTCGCGCCGCGACGGCCCCGTCGCCTGCTTACGCGTCCTGCCGCACCCCCTCGCCCCCGAGCCCGAAGACAGCCCGCTCGCTGGGGCGCGCCCCTTGCTTGCTGTTGTGGCGGGGGGGGAGGGGTTTAGGGGTTTTGACCAGGCAGAGGAAGGGGAGAGCGAGGGGGGCGCGAGGTCGGCGGTGCGGATGTACTCGCTCCAGAGCCATGCGTATGTCCACGCGCTGCGGTTCCGGACGCCGGTGCTGGGAGTGCAGGCCAGCAGGAGGCTCGTGGCGGTGGCGCTGTCGGCACAGGTGAGAGACGGCGGTTTTAATGGCATCTGATTTTGTCTCGCAGGAAGAGTCTGCACCCGCATGTGAAGGCCTTTCCTTGCAGCAATTCTAGCGATCATCTGTGAGCACGAACTTTGAGTAGCGTGCTTGTTGAGCACACTGTCAGTTGAAGTTGCGGGTCAGAGATAGCACGGTTTGTTCAGAACGTCAGGGTAAAGAAAGGCCAGGGCCTGATTTGTATCCTCCTTCTTCTTAAGAAAGTGGCCAGCTCCGAGTGTTTCCGGGTGTGAAGGGAGGTCGAACTTGCTGAAAAGAGGTCGAATGTGCTGAAGAAATCAACGACTTCTTGCAACCATTGGTACTCGGTGAAGACGTAGTACATGCTTCAGCACCTCTTGTCTCCTTGAGCAAAATCCGGCCTTGGATAACTCAAGTTCCCGCACGCCTTTGTCCGCCATCTTTTTTCATGAACGCATTTGTTCCCAATTCTCCTTCATTCTTTGTTACTCTGTACTCACTGCAACATCCGACTTTCCCTTCTGATTGTAGAGGAGATGCAGATGACTTGAGTTCCTCATGTGCTGCGGAGACAGGTTTGTCCAAATTGCTTCAAGCAGACTGGCTGCCAAAGCTGCTGACATTGACGAGTTTATAGGCGACCTTACTTTTTGAAGTCGCTGCTGCACTTGGCCTCCTTTTGGTGATTGACAGCCTTCCTCGCATTCAGACAGCTCCCTTGTTACTGTTTAACTTCACCTCCCCTTTCCCTCTCTTGGGACTCAGGAAACGATTACCTCAGAAGCCTTTCCAAAGTGAGGTGCTGCTTCGGATGCGAAGTCGTTCACGGTATGTGTTCTAAATATCTCCTCCAGACATCGTTCGAGTCCGAGGTCCCAATTGCCTATACACGTTTAGCTTCACGTTCCGCTTTGTCTCTCTCAAGCAATCAGCAAAGCTGAGATTTTCGGCGTTCTTCTCTCCCTGCAGATCTACTGCTTCGATGCCGCGACCCTGGACAACACCTTCAGCGTCCTAACCTACCCCGCCCCTCAGCTGGCCCCCGGAATGACACAGCCTCAGCAAGGGGCGATGGCGCTTGGTCACCAGTGGCTGGGTTACGCCGCTAACCAACCCCTGATAACCCCAACCGGGCGCGTCTCCCCCCAGTGCCTCTCGACGCCTTCCCCAAGCCCGTCAAGCTCTCCAGCCACCCCCGGAAACGCCGTCCATCTAGTTGCCCACTACGCCAAGGAGTCTAGCAAACAACTAGCGGCGGGAGTGATCTCTCTGGGCGACATGAGCTACAAGACGCTCAACAACTACGTGCGCGAGCTGATGCAGCCCGAGAGCGGGGCGCAGTCTGCAAACGGGGGGCCTGCGATGCAGCCTGGGGCGGCCCCTGCCGGGGCCCCGAACGAGCAGGAGTATGCGGGGACAGTCATCATTCGAGATGTGGTGACGCGCAATGTCGTTGCACAATTTCGTGCGCACACGAGCCCACTTTCTGCTCTCGCTTTCGACCCCAGCGGAACCCTAGTTGTAACTGCCTCGGTTTGCGGGCACAGCCTGAATGTTTTCCGGATAACCCCTCAGTCGAAGGGCGTTAATCCGTCCAGCCTGGGAAGCAACGGGGAGACGCACTCCACCGCCCACTTGTACCGGTTACATCGAGGGTTAACCAACGCGGTTATCCAGGACATCCGTTTCAGCAGCGACTCTGAGTGGGTTGCCGTGAGCACGACACGTGGCACGACCCACATGTACGCCGTCTCGCGCTTTGGCGGCCACGTCGGCCCCTCAACGCACGTGCGAACGCCCGACCGCTCTGGCCAACCGCCCACCGCCACCTGGCACTCTGCAAACGGTTCCCAAGGGGGATCCCCTCCTGGAGTGACCCTCTCCGTCGTCGCTAGGATACGGAATAGTAACGGGGGATGGCGAGGTTCTGTCACTGGGGCCGCGGCGGCGGCCACAGGCCGAGCGAACATGATTGCGGGCGCCGTCGCGACGTGTTTCCACAGCGGGCGCGCGAAAATCGCACTGGAGGAGCGCGCGGCAGGATTTTTGGAAGAGCAGCTCTACGTACTCTCGCCGCAGGGGTACCTGCTGCGTTACTGGCTGCGGCCGTTCATCGGGTGCGACAGCAGCTCGGCGAACGCCCCCGAAGTTTTAAAGCTGGCCATTGAGCCAAGGGAACGGTGGGACGTTTGCCGGCGCGTCAGCTGGGTGGAGCGGGAGGAGCGCGTGACATACCGAGCGGACGGAGCTGACGGTTCCGTTCTGGGGGGGAGCGAGATTGGGCCGGTGGAAAGGGGGGTGCAAACGGGGGAAGACGGGTTTTTGGTCAAGGCGGAAACGGGGCCGGCAGTTAGCGGGATTGTGTCCGGGGTGAATGGGCCCGCTAAAGAGAATGGGCTCGTGCATGAAAACGGGCCGGGTGTGAATGGGCTCGTGAGTGTGAATGGGCTCAGTGCGATCGGCCTTGAGGGGCGGGGGGTGAACAGCCCACCAATGGGCTCTCAGAAGTTGTTTGATCAGCGCCCTCCGAGGCACGATTCCGCTGGTCGGGGGGGTGGGTTGAACGAGCTCTTGTTGGGTTCGGGTTCGTCGAACGGTTCGTTCTCACCTAAGAAGAAGAATAAGCAGACAGCTGGTGTGAATGGTCCGGCGAACGGGCCTTTCGGGGGCCCGTGGGGGAAGACGCCAAACGGAAAAGGGCCGTGGTTGTCAGCGGAAAAAATACCTGTAGAGAACGGACACGTGGCTGAGCCGGAGCGAGAGGTGGTGCGGCATCTGCTGGACGGGGATCCCTTCGACGACCAGAATAGTGAAGGTGAGGAAGCTGTTTCTTTGTACATCACTGTCGTGAGGAGGGTTGTGAGGATTTTTGACGCCCACCTCAGTTTCCGAATGCTGGCTGTTAAGCTTTCAGTTTTGCATGTCGATCATGTTTCGGCGAGTCCGCCTTCATCTGCTGTAAATATTTTAGGCCTAGCTCTGCCCGTCTGCCAACGTTGGAGGTAACGGCTGTAGAGACAAGGTCGTACCCGAACGGTCTTATCTCTTTCTTACAAGTAGTTTGCCCCCAGATTTCAAGCGTGCCTTACTTAGCAAGCAACGTATCGTGATGAGTTGAGTTTCGGGCAATGTCGCCCACAGCACTTGCAAGACCGTTCAGATGTCAAGTCCAATGCTCCAATCTCTTGCAGGTTCATTCGAGGTTTCCCAACCCAGCTCGCCTCCCTCCTCCTTCGAGTCCCCTCGGTACCTCCTACAAAAGCACTTCGCCAGCAGCCCAATTCCGGGGCCTTTTCTGACTCCCGCCATGCTCAACCAGCGCCCGGGGCGAGTTCCCCCGGTTCCCGTCCTAGACCTAGACAGCGAGGGATCCCTCGCAACCAACCCCCCGAGCACGTCCGGGGACTCCGTCGAGTCGCCCAGCCCACCCTCCCCAAGCCCTCGTACTTCTCCGGTTTGTGCAAGTCCAAAGGATGCCCTAGAGGTAGGGTCGAAAGCGACTCGGGGGGGTGGTGATGCGGCGACAACGCCGCCCGCAAAGCCACGCACGGGCCTCCTTTTTGCGCTGTCGGAAGCGGAGAAGGGGGAGAAGAGCCCTCTGGAAGCAAGTAACGTCAGCCCAGACCGACCCCCCGGGAAGGGGCTGAACGGGTTGAATCTCAATGGGCTCTCGCTCGGGGGGGCTCCTTCGCTCTGGAAGGAACTAGACGGGGCTAGCGATCGCACCGAGGACGAGAGTGGTGATGTCGAAGACGGGGGTTTCTTGAGCCCTATAGTACAGAGCGGCTTGGATTCGTCGAAGAAGAAGGCCGGGGGCCAGTTTAAGGATGCAACGCCCGGAAGAGAAGACTCTTCGCCCAAGAGTCGGAGAGGGGTTGACGTCATGAGCCGTAGGGATGCTGACGTCAGCAGCGGGAAGGCCGGGAAAGGGAGCGGAAAAGCGGGGGACGACAAGGGCGGGCTGCTGGGCGGTTTGAGGGGCCTGATGAGCAGCGGGGCGCAGGGGCTAGCGGCGGCAGTGACCGCCGTGGGGGGGGCGCCTCCCAGGGAAAGTCTCCTGGACATGGGGACCCCTGTGGCAGTGGAAAAGTCTGCGAAGGTCTACCAGCACCCAATTCCGGTGGGCGATAGGAAGAAGCCCGCGCCGCGCTCCGTGCGGCGCGTCCCTCGGGGGGGTGGCGAAGCAAAGACGAGTCCAGTCGTGACAGGTGGCAGCCGGGGGATGTCGCCAGCTGGCAGCCGGGGAGTGTCGCCGGTGGGCAGCCCGGGGGGTTTCGGGGGATCCCCTGTGGACCGTTGCACGACGCCAAATCTGATGGACAAGCGGGGGAAGCTTCTGGGGGGGCGCAATGGGGAGCGGAGTTACTCGTCGGAGAACCTGCATGCTGAGGAAGGGCCAATTTTCACGGGGGCGGTGGCAGAGGCCAAGGCGGGTGTGAACAGGGCCAAGAAGGGCTCGGGGGACGAGAAGGATCTTTTGGGGGGTGACTGGCAAGAGGAGTCAAAGCGGGGGGGGACGGGGGAGGTCAGCATGGACGGGTGGGAGCAGCAGGGGTTTCTAGAGGGGTTCTCGTTCAGCGAAGAGGGTGAGTCACTGTTCTCACAGCCGAAGTGAACCAACGAAGAAGAGCAGAGGCAAAGTCCAAGGACGCTTAGAGAGCGGAGAGCAGAGCGGCATGCCGTTCCAAGCCCATTAGTTTCTCGATGAGATGCTTTGTCGAGTCACCCCAGCGCTTTATCAGGCCCTTCCTGACTCCCATATCGTATCTTTTGTCAGCAACCCACGCCTCTTAATTGCTCAGTCTGACACGCTTTTTGAAGAAGGTTGCCGTTCGAAATCACCGACCTGTTACAAGCGTGTCAAAGCCTGGTCGTTCGTCGATGGTGTAGATCTGTCTTGGTGTTTGACTCAATTGCTTTTGACTCGCAGATTGAAGAAGAGTGTAAAAGCAGACCGGCCACGAACCTGATGGGCCGGCAAACTTGCCTACCTTTCTGACATGATGTGTACAATACGAAGCCTTTGGACGAGCCGCGGGCTTTCAGACGGCAGATGAGTTTCTGCACGTCGGTGGATCGAGGTTGAGAGGCGCCTGACTTGGGAGATTCCTTCGTGGCACGAACTTGCAGCGCATTCTTTCTTAGATTCGACGAGGCGATGGTATTTGTCGCCTTCTCTCTTCCAGCCAACCTTCAGAAAATTGGTTTCTTTAGCCCTTAGTCAATCTAGTGGTGGTTGTAATACGGCTGGTAGGTATAGTCTTCCTCTGGCGCCTCTTGGTCCGGAAAGACAGAGCAAAGGTTCATTGCGTACATATTTGCATGGTAGGAATGAGGACGAGATCGAATTGGGCCGAAGAGCTCGGATCGGACTTGGTAGGTTGTACATATTGGTACACTCATTAATTACACTCTTAAAAAGACGGAATTGAAACGACTTGATCTTGAAAACCCGTCTTAACCTTCCATGGGTTTGCTCAATTTGCGACGTTCTGGAGCAAGGAGCGGCTGCCAGGGCGACGCAGACTACTAACTGAACGACGCGCGGGACTGAGACATCAGTGCATGCAATGCATGATTATGTGATATTTGTGCATGCCAGCCGCCGCGTCACGAGTGTGCATGATCGTCGGTGCGCACCCGGCGTTGCAGTGAATGATTCGAATCATTCACTGATCAATCATTTCAGTGATCAACGATGGCGCATCCATAATCTTGTATACCTAGTGACTCAGTGACTGTCGAATGCTGGCACATGTTCGAGTGAGTGCATGAGCAATTAATCAAGTATTGATTAGTATCCATGTGCGCTAGCCACTCATGCTGGCGGGGATCTTTCACTGAGTCGATCAGTGCTCAGAGATACTCACATGCTGGGTCTGACACTCGTACATGTGGCATGCGCAGCTAGAGCTCGCTGCATGGCAGCGAGGTGGCAGCTGCACTGCAGGCGCAGATATCGATATCAACCTGGCATCCAATTGTTCGTACACTGACAGCACTGCATGGATTACTCAGTGGCGGCCCACTCGAGCGAGAACATTGCGGGACAGTGACGATCATTAAGAGAGCTGGCCGACGTACTATGATCCATTTACTGTAAGAGCAGACGATAATATTAGGCAAGTAAAGTGACACTCACTGGATTATACCTGGAATCTGCATGAGGAGCTATATTTGACCAGCCAGCTATCATTATGACAGTCTGACGCACGTCTGGTTTTCTCAACGCTTACAAAAAGGATGGGGAGTATGTGTCAGGGTCGAGCTCTGGGGGTTCGCATGCCAATCTGTTTTCCAGCTTCGAGCTGGCAACATGAGTCCGTTCATTTGTACAGCTCCCATGTCAAGCAATGCCAAACAGGTCTGCCTCCGTGCACAACCTTTTTGGCGCAGCAGGGTCTATATCACAACGACTTCTTACTGGGTTTTCAAGCTCAAGATCATTCAGTCTCTGTACGCAAACGTCAAACGAGGATGCACAAAACCATTGCTTCAGCGTACTCGTCCCACTGAGTACTTTTGGCCACCAAACGTGCCGCCGCCTCCAGCATCTTCTTCATCTCGCCCTGGAACGCGCCGGCGAGATTAACGACTGCCGCCTCGCCAACGTTTTCCTCCTGATCTCCCTCGTTTTGGTGCTCCGCTGTTCCGCCGGAAGCAGCCTCCTGTTCCGGCGGAGCTGCCTGATCGGCTTGGTCTGCGGCCTCTCCACTCGTCTCTTGGCGATTTGACACCTCCGTACCCGCCTCTGGCTCGTCGTTGTACCGGCTGTCGTCTGACGGCAGGGACGTCGTGTCAGCTCCCGCCTGCAGCACCGGCTTGTCCGACGTCTTGCCTCATCAAACTAACACATGACGGATATAAGTCAGGAGCTTTATTATTGCTGCTACTACTTATCAATGAGATCTCTCAGTTAGTGCTAGAACGTAGTCCTCTGCTGGATAAAACGGACGCCATAAAGCCATATTTTGGACCGAAGCAGCCAGTGAATTTGTATTTTGCCAAGCCCTCAATCAGGCTCTTTGTAGATCAGACCCCGGTGACCAGAGTAAACGCCCGGTGAACGTCACAATGGCAAAAAGCGGCATAGAAACACGGGATGCGGAACGAAGCAAACAAGGACAAAGAAATGGATGGAGCGTCACCTTCCGAGTCCGCTTGGGCCCCTGACACTTATGGATCGCAAGAATTCTCTCGGTCATGCCTTTGCCGCACTTTGCTCGCACCGGACCATCGAGTATCCGGTTCCGCTCAATCCGGCGACGGATCTGCGCTTCCGCTTCACTCCGCCGGATGCCGCGGGGTATTCGTGGCCCTGCATATCACCAAGCGGCAAAGAAGGTTCTAAGAATCCTAACACTGAGATTGACGTGCAGGCAATCAGCGAGTCTCGCGCTTTGCTCCAACCCGAATCCCACTTGTCAGCTACATGATCCCAAAATTACCTGCTGCCTCGCCTAAATTGAATCTTGTATGAGCTCGCTAGTGACGCTCTGTCTCCGAGTGCAGCGAAATAACTGCGACAAGACTGATCGTACCTAGTGAACGGTGACGGGTTCATCAGAACACACATAAGATGCATCACCGATCGCAGGTTCAAGCTTTCCTTGATTACGAAAATGGGACGTAGAGCTTACGAAGGCCTGCTAATACGTCAGAAAAGTCAGGATCGAAGAATGGCTGCGAGGTAACGTCATATCATGTCTTACTGTGTTTGATCTCACCACCTAAATGCTGAATACCGCTACATTATCGAGGCGTTGTTCCTGCTGGCAGTGCAAAGAAAACACCGAAAGCGTCTGCATGACACGTTCATTAACCGTTCTTGAACGTCCTGATCAAATTTTGACGAAGATTGATTGATTGAGAGAGCTGTCAAGCCCCGGGAAGAATGCTGCACCTTCCGGTCTTGCTCTTGCTTCGCAGCTTGCTGAAGGGTGTCTCCCCACCCATCCGGCAGCGCGAAGCGCGATAAGGAGTCCACTAGCACGACGTCGCAGAGCTTCTCCCAACGGGGCTGCAATGATCAGCGCTCGAAAATTGAAAGGAACCAGTTTCGACATTTTTTTTAAGGTGCGAGTCGTTTGATCAATTCTATATGCTCACCCCTAGCAATAGAAGCTGATGAACACGGAAATGGAGTCGTGCTGGATCGAAATTTGGTGATTGGGGGCACTAGCTTCTGCCACTAGCCCAGCCCACCCTAGTTTCCCGCACGCGCAACTATGGCGTGAGAAATCAGAACGAAGCTTCCTCAGTAACAAATCCCCTGATTTCTCAGATGAAACCCTCAGAACGGCGATCAAGTCCCTGATCCGTAAAGCAAAAAACGAGAATACTCGGATCACGAATTCCGTCATTCACATTCAGCTTGCACGGACGATAGAGCCAGCACATAGCCACAGTCACCCCTAGAAGACACTAAACAGAGTACCAAGATCCAAGAAGAAGCAATCTGACCAATCTCAAGACATTGAATTTTTGAAGGTGGTTTGCTGACCTCCAATCCAGACACACTGCTCGCTGCTGTATGCATATGCACTTGGATCGCATACATAGCGGTCAGGACCTTCGTCAGCTTCATGCCGCTGGTGATCATCTTTGGACGGGCGCTGCACAATGGAATAGGTAGCCTGTTTCAGTTACTCCGATCGAGAAGCCACTGTTGAGTTTGAGTTTATGGAATCTTCTGCACCATTTCAGATAGTTCTGAGACTGAAATACTTGCAGGGCACATATGGTCTGTTAGAATTGCACTCTAAGCATAAAAAATGACGGTTTAGATAGTTTCTGTAGGAGATAACTTCTTCGAATGTACAGAATCCATAATACCAGCGGTACTGGCCGCATTCAGAGGAAGTTTCGTTTAATCATGGCAATCAGAATCTCATCTTCGAATTGAAGCTAGAACCGATCAGGAGAAACAAGAAAGGTCAGGGAAGCCAGGCAAACATTCTTGCCCTCCTCTTCAAACAGGACCAGAAGGTGATTTTCAATGATTATTTGCCAAGGCTGAACACGTCCTCAAAAAAGAGCAAACCAGTCTCCCGTCTACGTTCAATTGATCCAAAGCAACTTATCACTTGCAGTCGCACCAGGAACCAACAAGGAAGGCTGTTTCAAACAAGTTGTTGCACACCAGCCGGTTCTGTTACCTGCCAAGTACACTGTCCGCAGCAAAAAAGAGCGTCGACTTGAACTCCTGCTGCAGCGCACTCAGAAGATCATCTGGAATCACGGAGACAGCTCCGTTCGAGGTCCAGCCGTCAAACATGGCATCAACCAGCTCCTCTTCATCTAGGCTCTGCTGAGCCTCTTCGCTCGTCCATTTTGTCATTAGGCTGCAGATGATGCTACAAAAGCCCCTGCCGGACCCTTTCTTTTCATATGTGGCTGCCAGCAGCTCAAGGAACTGCAAGAGGCCTTGGTCCTCATAGCCATCCAAGCCGTTGCAGAGGTCTGATTTCTGCAACTTCGCCTTGTTCAAGCCTTTCAGGGCTTCAAAGAAGCACTGAAGCTTCTCAGCGGTATTCAGCGTTTCAAGCCTCTTTTCGGACGCCTCTGATGGCTCCATGATCTTGCAGTTAAACCTGCTAGTTGCAAAGAGAGTTTTCGCGAAGAAGCGCTCTCGTAGTTATGCCCTGCTCTTTTGAGGCTGGGCAAAATTTTCCAAACAGAGGGAAAAAAAGTTGAAAGGATCTATCTGAAAGGGACCGGGAAGAGGCAGCATCTTCAATCTCTGCGCTGCTCGCCTGCAATTGCCGGGGATGCCACGTACGTACAGGCTTGCAGAACGGCAGAACGTGGCTTTGGTCACAGGAACGTCTGCAGAGCTAGCTGGTTCTTCATATGTCACTGTTAATTGTGGTACCCGTTGAATCAGTCCAATGTCAACTTCGTGTCACGATGCCAAGGAGGAACTGCGCGAGACAACAAAAGACAAGATCAACACAGTACCAATCGTTGACGAACATGCAGATATTCGGAGTTTCCAAGGACGGTCCTTGAGTACATGCACATGGCACCACTTGAGAGGAAGCTTCGGGCAGCTTCAGGATACCTTCCCCTTCGAATTCCATCCATATAAAGAAGCGCACACGCCAGATGTCTCGAACTTCACCACGAGTCGATCTGAGTTCATCAAGCGTTTGGACTGATCAGATTCAAGTTGCACAATGATTCACAAGCTCAATCAGCCTCTGACGTCGTTGCTAATCACGGTTGCAGGCGCCCCTAACTTATTTAAGCATGTGAAAACAGGTCGCGTATTCCTAGCCTGAATCTTAAAACCACTAAACACACGCCCTTTCTGCCTACGCTCTGGCTACGCCTTTTACTGTCTCGCCTTAGCGGCACACGGATTGCTTTCCCACATTTCGTTGATTCGACGGTTGATCAGATTTGCTACGGTGAGTAGAGATGTCGAAGCCGTCCTACCCCGACCTCGCGCGCGCGCGCTGCGCCTGACGCGGCCGCGGGGTTCCTTTGGAGCGCGCGGGCGCGCCGGGCTCGCGCTCCGCGCCCTTGTCCGTTGCTGAGCGCGCGCGTCTTCGCGGTCGCCGGGCTCGACTTCGTCGGCACCGCCGTCGTTGTCGGCGCTGCTCATCTCTGGGCGCGGGGAAGTGCCTGCGTCCTGGAAACGCGAACGAGAGGAGCGGTTTGTGATTGCTTTCCGAGCAGATTCTTGAAAGTTAAACCCTACTAAGAATTCCTGTACGGGTCCTGGATACGTTCGAAGCTTTTTCGACGGTGCTGATTGGATCGTCGACAAAAGAAATCGTATGTGATCCACCTGGGATTCAACGGAAGATAAGGGCTATCAAGGTGGACAAGCAGAGAACATCCATTTCAGAAACTGGATTGAGAGTTCAGATAATCCTGTGACCTGATTGGTCTGTACTTAAGGAATTACGTCTTGTACGTTTTGATCGTCTCGATCTAATCCTAGAAGCTTCGACCGTTAACTAAATAATCAGGGGTCAAACTTGTAGCCACTTGAAGAGTGTTTCGACCGCCTTTGCAATAATCAGCGGAGACGCAAACGTCACGACTAACATCAACGCGCAGAGAGGGAAACAGGGGTGCGCTCCCTTAGAGAATGCAAAATGGCCTTTTAAAATTACTTTATCAACCAACCCAGACGGTATCTCGAAAGCTTAATCAAACCTGGGTTTCGGGACTAACCTGTTGGGTTCTCGACCCTTAGCCCAACCACCTGATGTGGCTGACGAGATCTTCTGTGTTGGGCAGAAAACTGCCGCACTCCTCGGGCATGACCGCTCTCCTGTTGCTGCCGCCAATCTCTTTCACCGGCTTCCGTTTGACACCCGTGACAGCAATGTACTCACGATCAGATAACTACGCCGGGAAGACAGATTCGTTCGTCTATCTGATGGTCTCATTCGTGAAATTGCTTGTCATCACTTGAGGCTCTATTAATTGCAGGCAAGACAATATTTCTCAAACAGGCTGAAGTCGCTTTGATCGGCATTATTTGCCTAGCTCTATTTCGGCAGTAAAACTCCAACGTGCGGTCGGAATTTTGCTTCACGGACAAACATTTTTTCGCTGAGGATGAGAAAGCGCATAGATGGAAGGCTTTCAGGCGGATCCAGCTTTCTTCATATGTACACGCCCATGTGAATCTCCTATGAAACCGTTCCAACTGAGGCTGAAGGCCTTGTCCGGCGGCAGGTAAAAGGCAGACATCAGGTGTACGAGGTGACCGCGTTTGTTAAGACAGAGGTGGCCGATCTTTCGAGATGAAGCTTGCGATTGCAGAACTACATGCATGGTATTTATAGGCCTCCCATGTGACGGACTGCTTGAAATGATTCCAAAGGCATGTTCCTCCCATGTACCGAGAGTGTTATGATCCAACTAGTTGCCTAAAATAGATTCAACTAATTTTTCTCGAGTACAAAATCCAGCGAGCTGAGGTTTCGTGAACCATCCAATGACAGAACGGCGTCATTCACCGGCTCGAAGCAAGAACGCTTTTGTGCCATCTCGTGAATTTACTATGAAAGGTTATTGGAGATCACGGTGCCCGTTATTGATACTCTTTACTTTCTTTCACTGACGTCCGTTGTTCATGTGAAGCTTTGCCTACACTATGTCATCCTAGTTGCATCACTGAGCTCTAGCCACGCTTCTTGACGGCCTTTTAGACTGTACATACCAGGTTGGGCTGCATGGAAAACAGACTCATATTGTCAATGAGTCTCTTTCGCTAACATGCGCGCCGCTGCCTTGAGCTGCTTATCCATCTTCCCGCGGTACGCGCTGGCTAAGAATCTGACTGTCGCGTCGGCCCCGGAATCATCTCCTTGGCTCTTCGGTCTTCCGCCGGAATTTGGTCCGTTTTCCGCTCTTCCGCCGGAACCCGATCCGTTCTCCAGGGGATCTGATGGTGGATCTTGGTCCGCCTCTTCATTGTTTGCTTCTTGGCGGCTGAAGACGTCCGTGTTTGTCTTCCGTTCGCTCTCCGCTTGTCCGCTGCCGGAGTCACCGGACGGAACAACGGACGTGCGAGCCTCCTGTCGGGGAAACGAAGAAGGGTCGTGACATTTCTGATTCCATTCATGCTGGATCGTTTATGACATAGACAGAAGCGACATCAAAATCTGATACTCCATATAAACAAAATGTTGAAGCCGTATACTAATTCTGCAATCAAATTGACGATCTTTGTTAAAGATCGGCCAATGAAATCTCTGATGTTCATGTTTATTCCGACAAGGAGATGCGCCGCATGACGCACACGCCATCGGTGCGCCCATTTCAATTATGCACCCGTCCGTCCGTCGATTTGTTCGCCGGGAAGCACAATGGGGATGGACGGTTGACGCGAGCATTGACAGAAACGTCCTCTTAATGCAAGCAGACACCTTGTTTTAGAACTTCCAAGCAACAGAAACGACTCAAATATACGGAGCCACCCTCGGATGGGTCCCTGGACTATATCGGACTAGAGTCTTTGACTTACGCGCAGTCGTTTATTTCAAAGGAGGCGCATCATCGACGACTATTTTCATCTTCAGGTCTCGTGTTATCCAGAATCCCCAATTATACTGGACGCCTGTTCTGAAAGCCACGTTCGCGATGAGAAAACGCACCAGGTTTTGTCCGCACACGTCAGCAGCCCAACAGTGGTTCTTGATCGTGTGTCGACTCAATAAAAAAACAGCGTCAGACTGAAATCTGGGTCCCACGAATGCTCGGAGAATTTTGAGACATGCAGCTCCAAAGCAACATAACCTTCGAGCGAAAGCCAAAAACCCTAATGAGCCTATACCCTAAAATCCTAACCCTCACCTTCTGAGGCTTGGTCCCGTGGCAGTGCCAGCGACGGTGGGCTTCGAGACTGTTCGCGCTGGCCAAACCCCGGTCGCACCGTTCGCATCGGTAGACCGGCTTTCCGGTTCCGCTCGGTCCGCTGACGGAATGCCGTTTCCTCTTCGCCCCCGCTCCCGCGGCCATGCGGTCGATACCCGCAGAAACCTGCAAACACCCCGAAAAGCTTCCATAAAGGCTCAAAACGCAGCCAATTAGCTGGTAAATCTCGTGCACGACTTTGAGCTGTGAGTCCTCCAGAATTTAATCAAAATCTAGAAGGAACATTCAACAGGACCATGAGCCCACCATGCGAAGCAAGCGTGGGAGTGACTTCATCCATCAAGCAAATTGCCATTCGAACGCAGCTACAATGTTCCCGTGAAACTTTCTGGGGATTCTGCTCTGCCTCCTTACTTTCTCCTGATGAAACAGCGAGCAATGTTATAGGCCTTTCAATCAAAGCTTACTTATGTGCTTGGGAGCGAACTGAAATGAGATAACCCGTTGCTTCTTTCCCTGAATTTTAGACCTGAATCTAGGATACTCACGTCACGGAAAGCAGGTCGGGTAGGAGAGTACTATAGGACGGCCAAGAAAACTTCTGCAGCCTCAAATAATGAAGGCACGCTCCTGTTGAGAAACACTTTCACAAGATGTGAACCTCTACTTTTTGTGATGTGCGCGCCGTCGCAATTCCATGCTCCGCTCTATTTGTGCTCAAACATCCAAAAATCATTTCGAAGCTTTTCCTGGGTTAGGGCAGCAGGAATGGACGTGACGTTACCTTGCCTGCGTGCTCGTCATTTGCAGCGTGTGTCAGGGTGTCTTCCCACCCCTCAGGCAGGTTGAAGCGGGACAGGTCGTCCACAATTTCGACGTCCCGAAGCTCGGCGCACAGGGGCTGTCCACGTGCGGAGAAAGGTTTATCAACTGAAACTCGATCAAGACCGAGCTTGTGATACTGGCGAAACCGATCCCCTTAAAAACCATCTCTCCTTGTTAGAAGACCATATGCGATTTTGAAACTCGACCAAGCCTTACAATCGAGGATCTGATCTGATCAAGTTGCCCCCTTTTTCTGGTGGGCGTGAGCTTCATGTTCCCCGCAGAAAGGAAAAGATGGTCCTGAAAAGATGGTCCCTGTACTGCTGTGCTAAGGCCCCTACCTCACAGCCCTTTTTTCAATACGACTCATATCCAACACACTGACATTTTTTAGAGGGTCATGCTTCAATCATCTTCAAAGGCGTTTGTATGTGTTCTTACCGATATTTTACCAATTTTCGTATGTATTTGAGACTGTAGTTTTAAGACGGGAAACTCTTCTTGCAGTTTCGTGCAGTACTTCTTTGATCAAGCGTCAGTGCAAGTGAAGGATTTGACTAGGGGAAGCAGCTCTGAGCATCATTGGGTCGACATGAATGAACCTTGGCCTCCCTGCAATGTGTCGTCGAAATCCAAGAAGCGGGCACATCTTTCTGGATATATATAAAATCAGGCGCCGCTAAGAGCCTGTGCTCGTTTCTGAGCTCGCTTCTCCCTAGTGTGTGATGATATTTAAGTTTTGAAGACCACTGGCATCGCTGAGCAGTGTGCTAGGCAATTCGCACCACCGCCATCCGGGAGTATTACAAAAAGCATTGCGAGCTCTGCAAGGTCTTTAAAAGGGTTGATCTCGCCCGGCCTTTTCTTCAGCCAGGCGCTCGAGTAGGGAAAAGGGGTGTAGTACTAGTTACTTTGGACTACGTTGATACATACCTCTGAGGTGTCTTTGTTGTGCAGGTACACCTGGACGGCCAGCATGGCAGTAAGGACTTTGGTGAGCTTCAGGCCACTGCTGGTCGCTGCGGGGCGGGTGCTGTCGGCGAGATGGAGAAAAGTTTGTAATCTGTAACCATACCAACACGAGTAAACCGGAAACAATCCAAGCAAAATGTAGACTTTGGACACAAGTGTGGTTACAGGGCTTTCTGCTAGCAGCGCTGAACAATACTCTGAGCTCTGCATAATTGGTGGAACGTGTGGGAGCATGGACCTCGTACAGAGGCGGCTGAATAGCGCGCACGGATCACATGATAGAGTATAAGTCCTCGGAAGAGAGTATGAAGTGTCTTGTTGTTAGTCATCGTGTTTGCATGTTTGTAAGACAACAATTATAGCGCCTCTAGTCGATGAATTCAACTATGAGAATCGCTCAATGTATCACAGAAAAGGCTTGGCTTACTCTCCAAGAGTCCGGCGGCATCTAAGCAGAGCGCTGAATCAACGCAAGAACTTTGATTGGGGTTGCCTTCCTTTTTAACGTCTCATATGTTTCGAGTATGGACGATGCTAAACCCTACGACGACCATCGTACGAAGGTCCTCAAGAAGTTGAGAGACATGCAAGTATTGAATGTAAGCCCTTTATACTGCAAGCGAAGCCACAAGTCGTAATGAAGCTCACCTTCCAAAGAGAACATTTGCAGCCGTGAGAAATGTGATCCTAAACCCAGGCTCCAGGGCATTGATGAGAGCTTCTGGGACAATCGGATAGTATCCCATTTTCCTCCAGCCAACGAACATTGCGGCAGTCAGCTCTTCTTCGTCCAAGTCATGCCGCATCTCGGCTCTCGCCCAACTTGCCAGAAGTTTGCAGAGGATGCCACAGAAGGCCTTCGCCGCCCCCTTCCTCTTATACGTAGCTTGGAGAAGTTTGAGAAACTGCAGCAGGTTGGCTTCATAACCAGCCATGTCTCTAAGAAGGTCGTCTTTGCGGCGGGTCTTGTCGATGCTATTCAGAGATGCGAGAAAGGCTTGTAACCTTTCTGCTCTATCTAAGGTTTCTTTGACCTCTGTTGATGGGGAAGCCATGCTAATTCTTTCAGGTGATGCGAAAAGCCTATGAGTTGCCGAAGATTGCAGCTGCGTGTACTCAAAATTGCAGCTTGCGTGTACCAAAGATTGCAGCTGTGTGTACTAAAACTTGCAGCTGCGTGTACGCTTAAAGAGAGGCGGCCCTTTTTACCGGCTTTTCTGTAAGGAGCTCAGGATATCAAGTACGCAGAACACCCCCCGCGCATCTTCTTTGAAACGCTGTATCTTCCAACCAAAAGACGCAGGAACAATCTGGCGATGTTCATAATCCGCAAAGTCAGGTGAAAACCTTGAGGAGTAATCTTCCGATCAGTCAGCTTCGGTATGTATGCAAAGAAGTCACTTGCGCCTAGTACCGGCCATGCATGCGCACAGCATGATTGGGTTTTTACAGGAGAGAATTTCGCTGTAAGAAGAGGGCCGCTGGCCGTTCAACAAGATACTCTCCGGCCGAAGGTGCAATGAACTCCGGGGAACGAACAGCTCCGCTTGATCAAGCCAGACAACTCCTTTCGCGACCTGTACGAATGCTTTGAAATTTGATTCTTGTCTTGGGCATGATGATGTGCCGGCCCCTCGCGATATCTGAGAGCGATCTTTGAGCGCCGGCGCCCCGCGCCCCGCGATCTCGATCGTTGATACGCCAATTTCTGCATGAAGCGGATGAAGCCAAGCAAAGGAGCACCTGAACGTCCCTGAACCTCGTATACTGTAACCAGTTGGTCTCGTCCGTTGTTGACATTACAGCATGAAGCTCCGCGCGCGCGCTTACCTCAGTGTGACATCGGCTTATTTGAGCTGAGTGTCACTAGCCAGATGGTTCAATTCGTAAGATACGCACGAAGAGGAAGGACTCGCAGGGCTCGCGAGGCATCACTACAATTAGCGCTCATTCAGCTTACAAACACTGTCCTGGATCGCTTTGCTGAGGAAAGGTCTTTGTAGGTCATCCGCCCCACTTCTACGTTGTGACGTGATTTTAGAATTGATTTTGCGAGCGCCCTGATCTACGTTCCTTTGACCCCGGACTATCCGATGAAGGCCGACTTCACCTGAAGGGTGTTTTAATTTCAGAGGGATCTAGCTTAATGAGAATACGGATTCTGAAGAACAGGAAAAGATGGATCCCACTGCAAAAAGCTGCGGGGCTCTCGACACCGCGAAGAAGCTCCGCACATTCTTAGACGCTCTCAAAACATTTTGCGTGCAGAACAGGGGCGGATTCCAGCGCCGGTGTGACTTTTTCGATGACTTAGGCTGTGCCGATATCCCGGGACTGATGCAGTTTCTGGACCTTCTGGGTGCTACTTACGTAAGAAGCAAAGCACCTTTCGCAGGATTTTTCATTCGGTCTTTAAGCTCAAGGTTTTACCAAAAGGAAAAGCGACCGGTATGCTAACACTGCATTGCTATTTGGGTTGAGGGGTGTTTTGATCTTGGCGACAAGCTCCTGTCAACGTCTGGTGGGTGCGTTGTACATTGAACCAAAAGGTCTGAAAAGTTTGCGAATGCAATATACTTGTTTCTGGCTTGTTTCTGGCTTGGCCCCTGGTCGAGGCACTTCACATGTTCAGCTCGTTCTTCCTCAACCATAGGCTTCAAGTTAGTCTAAAAAGGGACTCTTGATGGGCAAATCGACAATATTGTCCAACGCCCGTTTGCAGAACAAAAGCTCCGGTGCCCCGCGAGGCTTCTGCAAGCTCGTATGTAACCTGATGATCGGCTGGGCGGACAGCGGGGACAGGCAAGCCCTGGATGGGAACGAACTAGAGGCGGCGATGCTTTCCAAGTGGGCCGCGTGCGGGCGGCCGCGTCTGATTCCGGAGGCGCTGATGCGGCCCGAATACAAGGCCGCGATGGACTATGCCGCAGATTACCTTCTCGGTTCCGAGTGAGGTTCACAATGAGGAGCCTTCCTTTTTCCTTTCTGTCCGGAGGCCTCTTCTGTTTTCTTTTCGTTCAGTTCTCTCTTGTCTGTCGGCGGATCGCTCAATTAAGCTGCTTTTCAGCAATTGAATCTGTTGAGGGGCTCTGGCACGCAGATCATGCCCAGCAGAATGCAAGTGCGTTTTCCTTCAATCACTCACGTCAGTCTCTCCCCTCGATGAAGTTTTGCACACCTTTTCAGCATTCTGGGCGATGGTCTTTCTTAATCAAGATTTGGCTGTGCCTTCCTCTGCGCTTCTTTTGTCTTCGCGCAGATTGCGGAAGGAAAGTTGTTCGAAGGCTTGAAGGTTTGAATTTCGGCTCAAGAGACGCATAGATATGAGTCGGTTACCCGCAGAATCTTAGGATCAGTTCTACAGTCAGAAAATCCCGAGAACCACCGGTCTTCGGAAGACTCGGCAGATCACCAGGATGAAGCTGATGGTATGGGGACAAAACCTTACCATGATACCTCTGAAACTGTGGATAGCGGCTCAGCTACGGTCAAACTCTCTTCGATCGCGTTTTGCGGGCGCCCACGTTTGGCCGACGGTTCAGCGACATAGACTCTTTTGGGCCAGAATATCACGGCCCACTCCTGCTACGTTCACGGCTTCTTTTATTCTGAGACGGAATGCGCAAGATCCACATTGACATGACGTACGCGCAAATACGTGCTTGTGACTTTATCTCGAATCTGGACGAAGCGAGAATTGGGACTCGAGTTCCATGCTGCCGAGGAATATGGTGCTGGGTAAATAAGGCTACTTCTGATTTCTGTGGTTAAAATGCACATTCCTCTCTGGTTGCAGTTTGGGGGCGAAAGCGATTAGTAGCGGCTTGAGGCTTTCAAAGGTGCTCACGGGCATGTACGCGATCCAGATTTACCTTCATACGAGGGACCCCTTTGTCGAGGTATGGGGTTTGCTGTCGCACGCTTAACAGGTTCTCTTTGTGGGCGATCCTTAATCTTGTCAAACTAGGATACAGAAGCACAAGGCTTGGGGTTGAAAAACTTTATTGCCCGTTCAGGTTTTCCGGAATAAGCGTACTGACGTGGGCAGGTTCCAATCGAGCCCTGATGAGCACGACGAAACAAGGCCAATCAAGGGAACATCAACTAGACAGACTTTGTTGGGTAACTTAATCCAAAGGTTTGAGAAACATTCTCGAATGTATCATCGTGTCTAGTCTACCTTTGCAGCGGGCCCGGATAAGAGAAGAAGACAAATCGTAGCGTGAAAGGAGCCTTGCCAATCGCATCCAGAGTCTCTGCGGCGCAGGAATCACGTTCAAGCTGCACTCCTTCTATCCTACAAGGGAGTTCTTTCCACAGGGTACGGAGCGACGCAGCTTCAAATCAAACGCTTTGGTGCACCGTTTGAGCACACTCTAATCTCCATCTGGGCTATGATCAATCTGACTTACACTCTTGCTGACGAAGTCCCGTGGACGCAGCGTGTGGAGGAGGACCTTGCTGACGTCATGGTGGAGGACCTGACGACGCTGGATCTCCCGGAAGGCTGGAGGGACATCTTACAACAGGAGTCCGCTGCCGCGACGCCGAAGCAGAAGGTAAGCCATCCGTACCAATGAGCCCCATTTCATGATCAGTTGCGCCGAAGCTCGATCTGACGTCATCTCTAAAGCCGTATGCGGACAATCGCAGGCTAGCTATATCTTTAGCGCCAGACACAATCTTCGGGATTCATTTCCTACACTTTTTCCCTTCTAAGCGCAAAATACCTGAGGTTTTGATTTCCCAGTAGGTTTGTCGCTCACCGAAGGGATCGCTCTCGTGCTGGATGAAGGGGGCGTTGGAACGATTGGCATGGCTCAGAGCGGAAGCTTGAGAGCCACGCTAAAGCCCAAGACGCGGTAGAACGTCGGAATGTTTCCCAAGGCCAGAAGCTGGCCAGCAAACCCGACATCGTGGGTTTGTGCGCCCAGATGATAAGCTGCTGATCATTGAAGCTTTCTGCCGCCAGACAATCTTGTCTTCTTGACTCATCTCGAAGATGACTTAACGAAACTTTTCAAAAGCATCGCCAGTGCATTTAGAAGGACAATTCAAATCCCTCTCTGACCCCTTGATTCTATGAGCACTTCGCAACCTTGCGCAGCCGGCGTCCAACACAAGCGCCCCATCTCTAAGGCCGCCATCCGTGCGCGCGGCGCTTCGTGCGGAGAAGTGGCGCGCGCGCACTTTCTCCACGAGGGACGACGACGTTCCCACGTGCCGCGACTGCGACAAGCTCTTCGCGAGTGAGGCGTCCCTGGCTAACCACAAGCAGTACCGCTGCCCCACCCCCGCAAAGGTACGTACCGACACTGGCTCTTTACCTCAAGCTTAATAAAAGTCTCCTGAACCGATTTGGAAGCTCCTTTAGGACCACCGGAAGGTGTTTAAAGGTTTATCTCAAGAGCGTGTGCCAAATTCTGATGCGAAAAGCTGTTTGAGTAAACGGGCGCGTCATATTTGTCATCCGTTCTGTACTTATCTGCAGCTTTTGGTATTGGACGGCCCCTGAGGCTTTTATTGATTGTTTTATACGAGCTTCAGAACCTATAATATATATAGGGAGTACTCGCACGTGAACGTGGCAGCCGCCTGATCACTGAGCTAATTCAGCTTCACGGAACAACGTTCCTGATTGATTTCTTGACGGTTGAACCGGCAGGGGTGGGACTCTTGACCTTTTGGGTGATTGCGTCGCCCCTTACCGTGTGCGTCAGCCCTTCAAAAAGACGAATGCTTTCAAACCGGCCGATTGTTGGAGCGGTTGGTAATCAAACGGTATATGATTGTGGGCTTCGAGAATGAAGCGCCTATTAGTGACGTTGGATGTCACAAGATCGAAAGAGCTGCCTCAGTCCGGGACCATATGCAGCGTGCAAAATTACTCAGATCTTTCTGAGTGTACGCAAATGTGTACGCTGAAACAACGAGGTGGATGTATGCATGCCTTTTGGGCTGCGCCCAAATGCGTCTCCGATTCTCAGGATTCAGCCAGCTTGATGTCGGTCGTCAGAACCTGGGTTACAACATCGAACCCAATGTGCTGAAATCGTTCATGTCTTGGATTTCTGCAGGACCGCGGCAGCTCGCGAAACGAGAAGAGCGAAACGTCCGCAGTCGACGTAGACCCGGACGAGGATCCGACCGTCCGCAAGAAGGCCAAATCCGGTGTCAGCGAGGGCATTCCGGCGGAAGCGAGAAGGTCCCCGGAAGATGACGTAGCTGCTGACGTGGCTCAAGCGCTGAAGGCGATGCTAGCGAAGGGGATCAAAGCAGGGGCGCGGCTCCTGACCGAGGAGGGATGAAGGAAAGACTGTAGTTCTGAGGAAAATTCTGAGGGAGCCAGATTTCGTGGTGCTTAACACAACAAGCCTTGTATGTTTGCACACGGTACGTGCTGGCCTTTACTTTGCATCAGTCCGGATAGAAAGGAACTTTGTGGAGAGCTTCGAACAATAATATGGACATATCCAGATCGGTGCGAACCCTTCCAAGCACCAGATCTCCACTTCTGTCTGTGGACCGAGAACTTGAAAGAGAGCGCATCTATCGCGCCTTGAATTGGGCCTCCCACTCCAATATGCAGCCGCCCACGTAGCTTATGTGAATCGAAGCCATTAGGATGACGGCGTTTTCAGAAACGGCAGGACGCAAACGCCTTTCAAAATTTCATGCAACTCGCATGTGCATCGGAATACGTCACTAGCTGGGCTTCTTTCCATATTTCCTTAAAGGGTTACGACCGGCTCTGAACAGTAACCATATCCCGCGTTAAGTCGGATTCTTCCGATTCGGTCTTGTCTACTCTCTTCGGAGCTTTCGCATTGCTCAATGGATCGCTTCGCACGGAATCTGAAAGCGAGGCCTGTGATGGATTCCGGGTCAAGCCTTTGGAATCTTCGCCGGCCCTTCTGAGGACACGGAAGCATTTCGATCTGCAGATCGCAATCGAGAGTCACGTGTGAGAGTTGACTCGCGAACACGTCCGACTTTCACACAGTATTTAGCACGAAAGCGTCTCCAAATTAGGTTGTGAATTCTGCATACATGTTTCAATCCGTTCATGCAATTGTTAAAGCTATGTTAATCAAGTCGCAACGCCCGTTAGCGAGTCTGCTTACGTGTTCACGAGACGCCGCAGCCCTTTTGATGCCGCCTTCTTCTCGGAAGTTCTTGGCCATTGAAACCTACGCGCTTGGAGTCAGCCCGTAGTAGTTGTACACAGTTATTGAAGAGATTGCAGAATCAATGTGCCGCCCGCTCCAGCATTTCATTTTCCCAAATAAAAGGAGTTGTCCGAACTGCGCCCTTATCTTGATATTTCAGATTAGAATGCGCCGGCAGCTGGAAAGGCGTCCGTCGACGTCTGACTCCACCTAGACCTCCGGAGATCCTTGATCTGGACAACACCAAGCGCTGTTTTGGCAGTTCGCCGAAAGCAGCCTCTTGTTCTATGATTGCTACTTGAAGATGAGCTCGCTCCGCGTCATGGATCGTCTCTGCACGTCTCGCGGCACATTGTTCACACCCCCGCCTGGCCGTGCCGGGCGGCGTGCGCCCGACTTTCGGACTCGTTTTGTTCTTTTGTAGTTTCGATTGTATAATAAAGTTACAGACGTGGAGTGGCGCAGCACCGGGTGACCGGATTATAACTTATTAGGAACATGAAAACAGCGGTGGGACTAAGCAACTCGATGTACCAAAGTTCAGGAAGAGAGGCCAGTTCGAGGGACTGCAATACTACCCGTAATTATAAGGGCTGGCGCAATAAAAGTCCCTAGGCCTCTCCAAGCCGGGAGGACGATCAAACGACATTGCGAGGACATTGCTGCAGTTCGAGAAGCGCCTATAATGATTTGCCCATTGGCCTTATGTCGGTCGGATATGAACGATACGGTATATACCGTTCTGAGCGGCAGGCGGCTAAGCCGCGCAGATGCTCCAGCCGCGCGGCCGCGAGGTTCCAGGCCGCCGCGCGCGCCAGCCGCGGGCGGGCGCTCCCCGTGCCGCGGGTGACTCGGAGACCTTTACTGGGGTCGGGGACCCAAATTCCGGCTACACCCGGGTCAACAAGTTTTGTAACCAAACCCGGATGACGTGGCAACTCCGACGGGTTATGGTTACGAGATTAAATGGTTATTCATG